GTGGACGCTGGTCGGGGCCGGTCTGGTCACACTCACAAACGTGGAGGCAACACAGGAAACTTGGGCTTCCAGTAAAAACATGTAATTAGAAACACATTGACTGGGAGCTTTTTGGCCTGATACACCCAGCAGGACGAGACGCACGCCGAGGAAAAGAGTCTGACTGAAGTGGAGGACGAGATCAGTGGGTCATTGGGAAAGTCCCATGAGAAAAGCAAATGTTGTGAGATAAAAATGGAAAAGCAGAGACATTGACGGTGACAGCCAAGACACATCGTTACAGAGAGACAGAGACAGACAGAGGAGACAGAGGGAGCAGGGTACGAATCAAAAACAGGCGTCTGAACACCTAATCTGACCCGTCAGTTAGTTTAAGACAGACAATAACATCCCACTGCTGGAAATCCCTCATTGTTACTACTGTTTACAAGATGCTGTATAAACGCCACTGTGTTTGAGAGTGCGTCACTTTGTCCTGAGGGCCTCACCACTAACAAGCTGAATGTGGGCAGCACGAGCTCAGCGGGCAGCATGGGCCTCGGCGGGGCCGGGACACTCCAGCCACGCCCTGCAAGGCAGTGCGGTGAACCACACTGCAGAGGGAGAGCAGGTTAACCACAAACAGTAACGCTGCAGTTCCTAAGACGGCCACTTGAGGCAGGTTCCAAAAGTGAAGCAAATGCAACAGACAACCACTGAGAGTGTTACATAAAGTCAAAGGTGCTATCTGTGTATAGTGTACTTATGTGCCATCTGTGTCACTAAGTGGTCGTCAGCTAAGCCTGACTTTGCTCGCCATGTCCTGCTTGTTGGCTGGTTTTGTGTTTGATGCGTCATGATTGACAGTCAACACAAACGCAAAGAGTCAAATCAGGACAAATGTAAGCTAGGAGCAGTGCACCACAAAGTTTTGTTGTGCTTACAATATCAGCTTTGACAAAACAAACAAGCAACATGCTTACTTACTGCAAATTCCACTGGCTCTGTGAAACTGACAGTTTTCCAGTGATTAGGTTTCTTTGACATCCAGGAACTTTCCTACCTCATGGAGGAGATCAGCATATTTTCAAAGACTGTCCAGATCTAATCCTCCCAAAACAATATCAAATGTGATCATTTCTGTATAAATTTGAACAACATATGGTGATTTCTGCTGTTGGAAAACTATGCTACTGTCTGTCAACCCAGCAGAGGCAGTACCTGCAATCAGCTGACCTATGGGACACATTTCTGAAGCCAAACTGAATAGCAGAGTTAGCATTTTTACAGCTTTTACAGGTTTTGTTTCTTGATTGAAAAATTGTGTGGGGGTAAGATACACTATGAAAATGAACCAGTCTTTTCTATTGAGGAGAAAAGGTTTCCAGTGACAGGTCAGTGCTCAGCTAGTTCAGACTCAATTCAGAAACCAAAAATAACCCTTTCAACCACACTTGTGTTGTCTGGTGCCTTTTTGTGTATATTTAACTGACATACCAGACAACTTACTTGGTTTTAGTTATATTTTTTTGTTGTTGGTGGTTTTTTTTTTTTCAATAATAGGGTGAACTAAGGCAATCAGTGATTTAATTTGGATGTTAGCACTGTATATCCAGCTTGTTGGCACGTTCAGTGTTTTTCACTCATTCATTTCTTCGCTGTGACTCAAGCTCAGGATCCAGGATGTTCAGTTTTTCTTGCAGATAAGAAAGCTGAGCCTTTGCATTTGCAGGTCAGTATTTTTAAATGATCAGATTTTCTCTCGCTTGCCTCTTATGCTCTCTATGCTATCTTCTTCTGATAAACAACACTCTTCTGGTCAGCCACTACCACATTAAGAAACTGGTTTGTGTGGGAAACAGAACAGCTAACTTGCTCATTCCTTTTCTAATGAATTACCCTGTAAAACTTGGATGACTTGGCGCCCTCTCTCCTCTAAAATGGCAGCCTTTTGTCCAAATCTGGTGACTCTTGGCTCAAGAAAATCAACATGGCAGCCGACAAGAGGCTGAACTTGAGATTTCTAAATGGGATATGACAGCCTATCATTGACATCATGGTGGCTGTGTCCGTTATGTATACAGTCTCTAGTTACCATGAATGATCATCTCCAACAGGAGGCATGGTGTGATGGAGAAGTGGAGCTGAAACGTCATCAAACACGAACAGCAGAAGTTGGTTAATTGTTAAACAAACTGCACACAGTCGCAGATGTTAACATAAACATACTGTACTGGGCTGGTAATGTTTTTTCAGGGAATGAAAACCACACATGGCGAGATCTAAACTGTGGCTTTTTTGGGAGCCTTGACAAACAGCTCATCAGTTTCTCACAGAGTCCAAACCCTGAGAGTCTCTGCAGGGGGACGGACGTGAGAACGAATCCCAGAGAGAAACCATCAGAGGCTCTTTGGTGTGTGGCTCTACAGATCAGGCGGGTGGTGACTGTGGCCTCAGAAAGAGAGAGCCTTAATTAGCCTTCGCTCCCAGCAGACTGCCAACCCAAGAATAGAGGTTAGATTAACAGCGCTGAACTGAACACTTTTAATCAACTCTCAAAGAGTTTCCTTTCAAACCTCCACCCCCCAATGTCAACAGTTCACAAACACGCAATTAGACCGAGCGGGGGAAGTGGATGTTTGGTAGGTGATGAGGTTTTATACATTTCAAAATACAAAAGTGTGAAGTGACAATTCACAGTCGATAGATGCAGAATAAACAGCTGGAAAATGTGCATCCATCAAACTAAGAAGCAAACAGGTTGAACAAGACAGGATTGCACTTCAGTTTGAACATTAGAAACACTTTTGAGCCATGATTGATTAAGAACAATGTAAACACACACTGTAAGGCACAATAACCCTGGGCCATTCATATGAAAACATACTCAACAATAAATCACTTAAGTAAACACACAGTACTTTGGATTTTCTCTGTGTCCCTGATACAGTAAAGGACAGAAACGGTAACACTTAACAGCCCAAACAGGCTTTTAGAAAGGAAGAAACACATCGACTTTTTCATGTTGACTCAATGCAAACATAAAAATATCAAATCTGTTGACCAGACTGCATCTTCACTTAAAAAAGGAAACACATTTTTGAGCACCAGCTATACAAATACAGGAGAAACGCTAAAATGGGCATATTCAAACCAACTCTTCATGGTTTGTCATGTACAAAATTCTCTTTCAACTCCTCTTGTAGATGCCAAAAAGACACAGGACAGTGTCTGGGCATTTCCTAATTAAATCTTGCCTTCTTTGGCTCTGCCATACTTTCATCCGGTGCAATATTTGTTTCCAGAGCTCCTTTTCTCCCATCACAGTATCCTGTAGCAATACTTCTGTTGTGATACAACAAGCATGAACAGTCTTAAAAACAGAAGGGTAAGGTTTCAACATGTAAAAATCATACAAATTACACTGTGCTGTCAAGTCTTTGGTTTCCAATACAGTTTGATTACAGAGAGTGTTGCCATGGCTCAGGCCAAGAGGACTCAACACCAGCATCTCTGTTTACAGTAACTGTAAAAATTCATTGTTGGTAAAAGGAGAGACATATAATTATTTTAAATGGAAGCAAACAGTAGGAGAAAAAAAAATAGACAAATAAAAACAACTTTAAAGAAATAAACACAAAGGGATGTAGAATGAACACAAAATGAAACACAACATGAGTCTAAAGACAAAGAAAAACGATCAAAGGTACAATGTGTAGAAATAGGAACACTTTGCAATGACTTAAGGCTTGATTCTACATTAAAACCACAGATATGAATACATAGATATGACATACTTCTTTGACCTGCATGCCAATGGCAAAGCTAAGCTAATGGCAGCATCGTTTCCATTAAAAGCCAGGCATGTAGATTAAAAATAATTTATAACTTGCTTATTTCTCAACCAATTTTCATGCGGTTTATTTTATTTTAAACCCCAAAATACACAATATTAATACAGAACATTTGATTTAAAAAAATCACAATAAAATGTTCTTTATTAATAGCATGTGTTTTTAGTGTTTAAAATAATATAAACTGAATGAAATCCAGTTGAGAGATGAGCAGGTTTTGAGTTATTTAGTGTATATGCATTGCTCTTATTGGAACAATGCCCCCGCCAAGATGGCTGCCAAGCAGGCGGGCTGCTACAGCGCGCTGGTGTGTCTAGTCTTATTTATATCTGTGATTAAAACACTACCTTGTTCACCCCTTAAATCAGAAAAGTGATGGTGGCCTTTGAAGATAAAAAACTCCTGTGATACATGTCAAGTTGTGATTTTGTGCACAACGACAACTCACCTCTTCTTTTTGTTGCAACTAGTGCATTTAAAAAAAAACACTCCCTGAATATGAACAAGAATCATTCTAACAGCCAGTGCTAGTCTGTCCACTTGGTGCTGATTTCACACTAACTTCAACTGACTCGTGAATATCTTGCTTCATTTCCATCAAGTCTGTTTTGATAAATGCTGCTACTTACTACAAACTGCACCTTTAAAGTGACACAAACAATGATTGAAAGATGCAAAGAACCAGGAAAAAAAAAAACACAATAGAGAGAAACAAAAGAGAACAAAGAGTTGCCATGCAAAACAAGAGAAGGGAAAGACAGAAAATGAAAAAAAATCCAAAGAATTACAAAAAAACTGCAAGATGATGAAAGTGAATAAAAACATGGGCCTAACAACCACAAAAGGACACAAAACTACCACAAAGACACTGAAATACTTCAAAGAGACACCAAAGTTGTAAAAGGACTACAAAAGAAATAAAACTATATTTTCAGAGATTTACAACAACTACAAAGTGATGTATAGACACCAGAAGAAGACACAAACACACACAAAGAGACAAAAAACTACATCAGAGAGATGCAAGACAGGACAAAGAGACCTTCTTGAATAGGAGTGGTGGTTTCAGGCTAAGCTTTGGTTGATTTGGTCACAGTCCATCCATGGTCTCATGTGTTCTCTTACACATGGACACATGTTACAGTACAGTTGGTCCAAAGTGTTAGAGAGGCAGAGGTCAGGCTGGAAAAGTAACACTGGTTTGAAGTCAAAAACAGTCAGGCGTTTGTGGGAGCAGACAGAGCAGCTCTGCTCCAACATATCTTAATATCTAAACAGTATGACAGAGGAAATGACACATGTACAGTCGTGTTTGAATTATGAAACACCCGCCCAAATGTTTCCCATATTCTGCAGGAGTGTATCTTTAATAACAGAGTTTCTACTATCTCTCCATCTGCGTATACAGTACTGTATGTCAAGGCTTTGCTGGTTGTTTGTGACAGGAGGCTGACTTTTATCCGAGGATCAGATAACTTTCTTCAGCCCCTGCTTGAACTGGCTCTAGCTCTCGGTTTCTCCGTGCACGTTCTCCATGTGTACTTTGAGGTAGTCGTTCCTGGTGAACTTCTTGTGGCACAGCTGGCACTCTGCCATGGGCCGGTTAGGGTTGTGTGTGAGCTTGTGTCTGCTGAGCATCTTCTTCAGGCTGAATGACAGGTCACACACCTTGAAAACGCAAACAAACACAGGAGTTAAGAAGTAATGATTACAGCAAATAACAGGGCTGCGCCCGACCTGTCAAACTGAATTACATCTGGCTTTTCAACAAAGGGATAAGACTGCTTTTTTTCAGTTTTCTTACAGTTCAGCGCCAAACCAAACTCCTTTATCAGCCAACACCAGTTTCATGTGGTGCTTTTAAGACTCGCACTTATTAAAGTTTTCCTTAACTAAGCTTCTAACACAACATTAAGATATTTTTTTCACCTGAGTGAATTCTTTCAATATAAGCCATGTCACTGTGTTCATTATTTATCATCAAATAATCGTTAAAGCTTAACTTAAAAATTTGGACCTGTGGCAAGTCTTACGCAACATTGTGCTGGGGCTCTGCTCTTTGCCTCTCCTTCTGCTCAGCACTATTATCAGTTTAGAAACTCTTAACAGACAGTTTAGTACAGACAACACATGAGCTGTGTTATCTTGCCTTTGTCATCTTGTCTGTTCAGTTCCTCCATGACTGTTTTATTAATGCAAAACTTATAAAATAAACTACATTAAAAAGCTACACTTAGTAGCTCAGCCCTCAGCCTCTGAATCCCAAATAAGTCATGCTGCTGTGATTTATTTTACCTTAAACATGCGGCATTACACGTTTGACAAGATCTGATTTTTCAGAGTGGCGGACCTTTGCTGATCATTAAGACACATATAAATTCTAGTTTGCATAGGACAGCGAAGGAGTTAGAACCTCAAAATAAGCCGAGCACCTAGAAACAAACCAATAGCAGCTCAGTTCACAGCCTCCTGGTGTTTGTTACAATAAGGCCTTAATTGTTGGTACATTTGTGTTTAAGTGACATGTACTGTACTAATATTTTACACCCTGTAATAATATCGTCACTGTCCAATAAAAAAACATGTATCTCCAAAATGTGTTTTTTTTCTTTCTTTTTTCTCAGGAACATTAAAAAACAACTTTATTCATAAACTACCATGCAGGATAAACCCAAAACACTGTAATGAGACACAATTAGGACCTGAAATCAGTGACCTGTTAGATAATCTAAATGGACTTATGTGCTTTGGGTTGTGAGTGATAGTGGACATATGTGTTTTTTTCAATAATGCGCTCCAAAGACGTTCGGTTATTTACGAGCTTTCAGTATCCTGATTATGTCCCACTATGTTGATAAACTATTGATGGCAGGCTATCCTATATTTACACATAGCACATTGGTTATCCATATTTTTGAGTCGCTACTCCCAATTTAACATGCACTGGTGTCCTTGACCAAGTGAGAGAGAGAAAACAGCAGCAGCTTTGCCTCTGGGGATAACCTTCAGCTCAAGAAATCTAATGTACTGTCATGGTTAGAACCAAGTTTTAGGTCGGCATCAGTTGATGTGAGGACGTCAGTGTAGCATTACCCTGGACTGTAATGAGTCTGTCACTGTGTCAAGTCTGTTTGCTGACATGGCAACACAGGGCCAAGGCGGGGGGTATGTGATTTGTTGACACTTCTGTCACTAAATGGAGATACCTGTTGATAAGATGATGTTATAAAATGTCTTTCCAATGGTAATTTGGATACCCAAAGCTACAAGTTTATAGGGAAGATTATGAACCATGCATGTATTGGAAAAAGTCCAGATCCCTAAAAGTGGAGATACGTGTTTTGCATCAGACAGCGACGATATGTTGTGAAAACTAAAATCATTTTTGTGACCTCTTGTGGAGTTTAATGTATGTGCCTGCATTGCTGTGATCAATATTGTCAAAACAAGCACAGAAAGGAAGATAAGACTGATTCAAACCCAAAGTTCGTCACCGCAGCTTTGATTCACTGTTTTTATTGGTCTAATATATGAAGTGTTAATGAGAGGAGGGAACCTCTGGGGATGATCCAGCTCATGGTAAAGAGTTGTGAAAACTTAGGGGTTATTTTAAGACTTGTCTTGCCCAGATTAAAGCCTGCCCTGCTGCTGCTCCTGCATACCCAGTATAGAATAAATTATGCAGCTACAAAATGATACACAAGCCAACTCAGGGTCTTCTCTTCTCATGATTTGAGTTGCTGTTTGTAAGGGGACAACCAGCAAGAAGAGAAGTCTTCACTGAAGTTCCCCTCTCTGTAAAGTTTACCCAGGCACAGCCGGAGTCACTGAGTAATATGTAAATCACACGCTGTGGACCTTGGCAACAGAAATCTTTTTTTTTTTCTCCCAGTAGAGAGAGGGAATGTATGCAAGTTAGCATCCATCATAAATGAGCCATTTTACACTGTACAAATGACTCCATCGTCCTCTATCAATCATGATAATCCGCCTCTGGCTGCTCTTCAGCTGCAGTTTAACACACGGCTTGAAGATCACAGCATGTGTCCTCCTCACTCCATCTGTGAAGAGCTGCAGCGCTGTGAATTACATTCAGAAAATCTCACAGAGAGTCTGCATCTGTGACAAGAAACACAAGACCTTTGGATTGATTCAAATCATTTCTAAAAATAAGATAATTTTTATATCATTTTGTACTCGACCTCAAAAAAGTCAATTTCCAGCCGGAGTCAGTTTCCCTCCAAAGAGATGTTTATAAGTATCAAAAGCCGTGCGATCCAAGTGGAATTAAACGTTGCTAAATCTACAAATCTGATCCGGTGTTGGCAAAATATTCGATCTTCAGTGAAACAAAGACAGGAGCTGATGGGGGGAGGAGGAGGAAGGGGGGGGGGCTCCTTGTTTCATCTCAGCACAGATGTTTCTGGATGCCTCTACAACATTTTTAATGCCTTTATGACGGACGCTGCTCACAGAGCCCCTCTGGCCCGTCTGGAAAATGTTCCAGGAACTATGTGATGATTTTGTCTGTCCCAAAACCCAAACCCAAGATAAAATCCACATGTTACTTCTATTATCTTCAATAGATGAGCAGAGAGTTATTTACATGAGTATCCCTCCTCGACAGCTGGGAAAAGCATCCAGATGAATGTTGGGTGTAAGTGGGTGACACTTTCTGGTGACGCTTCAGTGACAATGAATGAGATACTGACTCTGTGGTCTAAAGCAACTCCAGAGCGATCTGTGAAATACAAAGGCACGTTTTCTGGTGTGATTCTCAAGGCAACGCCAATGATTGAGGGTGTCAAACTCAGATGAGATTCTGAAGAGCCAGATGGGAGTGATAAATGAGATGGTTGGGCTTACTTTTGAAGAATGAGGAGACTTTTATATTTTAGAGCAACAGTTCAAGACTGAGCTTTTCTCTGGGCCATCCTCAGGTCAAAGTTTAAGCCAAAAGGAAAATCCATTAGTAGTTTTGCCTGTCCATGAAAGCCTTCCTAGAAGATCAACCTCATCTGTTGCCTTTTGGGTAAAACTTTGAAGTTGCATCACTCAGATGAAAGAAAGCTGTGACGACTTTGGTGGTTGACTGCACCTTAATGTTTTTTTGCACTTGATAAAATAAAGCATTTCATATCGCTAACAAATAAGAAACAGAATTGCTGAACTTTCATGAATATTTTGTTAAACAAAAAGACTGAAAAACATTTGACTTTATAAGATATTAGCACAAAGGGTGCCTGGGGTGCTGTCTAGACATTTAATCAAATCCAATTATTAAAATACACAAAGTACAAGATGAATATTTAGCTGTTAACCTCAGTATTGTATGAGTTCACTTTCCCATACAATTTGCACTCTTGCTATATTGGCGTTAAACCTGTTTCGGATGGATTTTTAATTTATTTAAAAAAAAAAAAAAGACAAATAATTTGTATTATTAAATCGACTTGAGAGCCAGGGGTAGCATATATATTATAGCATATATATTTGTTGCACTAACTTTCTCCTGCTCTATGATGTCACCTCTGCCACTGAACAAACAGTTGATTTTATTTTTCCATAATCATAGATTTAAATTCATATCAATAGCAATTAATTTGAAAAAATCGATACTTGGTAAATGAGACAATACGATATATCACCAGACAAAATATTGCGATACCGTTGTATCGATGCTGTATCGATGCTGTATTGATCTTTTCCCCCACCCCTATTGAGAGCATGGCTGGTATTTTTGTTAGGACTTAAACAGCTTAATTTTATCCAAAAGAGAATCTATATCAAACATTGTCCAGTTTTTGTTTTAGATTTGATGTTGAATGACCCTGAACATAATCAATAAGGATATTATAAGAGAGAGGGGAAGCCACACTGTCTAAAGTTGTATCATGTCTGGAGAGTCTAGACTCAGTGAAGAAACTGCTGTCACTTTCTGAACATGATGCTAAGTGGTTGAAACTACAGTAAAATATTCCCTTTGTTTCTGTCACTGATATACCCATCCCTTTCACTTCATACAGTGTCTTTGCATCTGAACCTTCAAGCTACATCAAGTTCCCTGAGGGGAGATGCCTAACATTTTGAAAGTCTCTGGTCCAAAAGAAACACAAAAACATGATGTGAATTCTGATGGTAAGGCATCTCATGTCCCATAATCCTTGAGCTCACAGATGTAAAAGTTTCTGAAACGCTCAGTAGATTTTAAATTGAAGAGATTCCCAAAAGCCGTTGTGGCTTTTAAAACAAAAAGCAGAAAAAACAAAGTTAATCACCCTTCATGTACATTTCCAACTTTAAACGGTGATAAAACGCAGAATTCAAAGAGTTTTCCCCCTGCATGGACAACATCTTCTGTCACACACACACACCCCCAGTCTCTGAGAGTAATTATTCTCCAGCAGTATTATAAGCAGACGGTAATTTCTGCCTCTGATCCTCTCAATGTGTTTACGTGAGATCAGCCTGCTTGGCCCCTCAAGAGAAGCAAGATCACTATCTGCCTCTAACTGAGCCCCCCAAAACCCCTCTTTAAGTCTCCACATCTGGCCTTGTGCCATCACACACAGACACACACACACAAGCAGGAATCACTCACGTCACATTGGAAAGGTTTCTCTCCTGTGTGGGTCCTCATGTGCTCGTCCAGCCCTCGTTTCTGGCTGAAGGCTTTGTTGCACTCGCTGCATTTATACGGCTTCTCCTGCAACAACACACACAAATGCACACACAGCGGTTACAACACATAACACAATGCCTTCACAGTATAATCACATATGGACAAAACCTGGAGGAGCATTTGTGTCCATTATGTTGTACAGCAGAGTGATAACACACATGTGTGCAGAGGAAAAAAACAAAAAGCACCACACAGTGGAAACATCCAAGAAACGCACACAAACATTCACACTAAGGCTTGATCCTGATACGTGACTGTGAAACTTTTTTATCTGAATAACATTAAACTTTGGACTACAGGTCACAAACAGATCTGATCTGAAAGTGAACTTCAAAATCAACAACAGCCTGTCAAATCATAGCTTGACTTTTGCACTTTTCAGGAGTTCCGGTTTGGTTTGCTTGTAACAAACTGCAAATTTAAGGACTCAACATTAAATGATGAGGGGTTGTGGTGAATTTCTTGGCTTTAGTTTCATTCATAAGTCTGTGGTGACTTGCACACTTAAACTCAGGCCTTTGCCGGCTTTTAGGATGAGGTTGCTCGCTGAGTTCAGTTTGATAAGCTGCACCTGCACACTTGGCTCGTAGGTGGCGTCTCAAACTCAAAGTACTGAAATAAGTAAGGCTGTAAAGTCCTAGTCAACTGGTCGACTTGTTGGTTGAAACGTGCTGAGTTGACCAAAATTCTGATTGGTCAACTCAATTTTTTCCGCATCAATTTACAGTCTATGGTTAATTTCATCAGGAGGAACGTACCAAGTGCTAATAGGAGTGTTTTCAGAGAACCCCTGTTTCATAGGTAACAGCCTGTCTCAGAACACCCCCCTTGTTTTCACCATTTTGGATTTGCCCAACCCACTGGAGACGGACTGGAGACAGAAAGATTTAAGAGTGTCCACTTTAATCAATTTCCTGTAGTTTGCTGAATGTAATATTTGTGTTTACTTGCCTTTTTGTTCTGATATCAGTATATTAGGAGTTTACTAGGAGTTTCTAGCAAAATGTGCTATTCAAAAGTACAGTGGTGTAGTTTTTTTTCCATCACTGTGGCAACAGGTTCAAGGAAAGAGACAAAAAAGGATGAGATAAAGAAAAATAAATGCATTTTTTCTGACCCTAAGCCCATCAAGATAAAGCGACAACGTTAACATACCAAAAAAAGGATTTCAGCCTTTAAACGACAGGGTTAGAGAGGGAATAAATGGAAACAAACCCTAAGTTCCTCAAAGACGCTCCAGGTTTATGACTTTCAGCTCGAAGCATACTTCTATAAATTCCTTTTTTTTTTTAACAGTACAGAAAAACGTGATCGTATATTCTCCGCATTGAGACGCTCTTACTCGTTCTCAAAGATAGATCCCCTCTCTCTTCACACCCGGTGTTCTCCCTGGGAGCTCATGAAGGTATGAAATATAAGACTGTACGGCCTTTGCAGTAAGAAGGAAATGACCGGCGTAGGGGCCATCAAAACCACATGGATTCCTTAAAAGAGTAAGGAAAACAGGGCGCAGAAAACCCCTTTGAACATATATCAGAGCGCTGGCTCTCTGCGGCTGTAGAATATCACTCCTCTGTCTCCACACCTCATCAGTTTACCAAAGAACATTTCCTCTGTGCCGTTTGGAGGCCCGCCTTGGTGTCAGTCAAAGCAGATATCTCACTGTGGGTGTGTTTATACAAAAATACTCCAAGTATGTGTGTGTGAATGTGTGTGTGGGTGTGTCCTGCCGTGCGAGGGGAAATGGCGGTGCCATCTTAAAGGCAGGAGGAGAAGTGAGAAGTGTGCAGATAGCAGGAGTTTGTTCCCAGTGTCACTCTTTGGGAAGCTGTTTTTGACAAGTCTGGCTGATAGCAAAAAGGCTCTACCCATTTGAAGCTTAGTTGTCATGGGAACGGGGTGAATGCAGGAAGTAAGGGTCCTGGGAAAGGCGCTATCATGTGGGCGGGGCAAGGAGCGCCCAATGACACAGGATACAAAAGGAGGTAAAGATCAGGTTCACTGCGTGTGTGCGTGTTTAAGTATGCAACTGTTTGTGTGACTGAATGGAGAGGGGGGGCGGTGTGTGAAAATAAAGCAGCGAGTGTGTGTGAGAAAGCCGCCTCGAGGAAACACTCAGTCATGATCTGTGTGATGCAAATTTCCATGAATCCCTTCTTTTTCCATGAGCAATGAATGGTTCCTGTATGACAAAGAAAAAAACTACTCAGGATCAAAGTTCAAAGGTCAAGAAACACATGGATGGACTTAGGCGATGGGATATACCCAGAATGCATTGCTGTGACCCTAGTAACATCGAACATCTGTACCTGTGCCCTCCACTCTCCAGCAGCTGTTGGTTTTGTGACCTTTGACCCGGCCTTTCGTCTGAATCTGACCACTCTGTCACAGAGCAGGTCTATAAATGCAGAGATGGAGTTTGGTTTATTTACTCCAGACCGGCCTCATGTCTCATGTGTCATGTTTAATGTGAGTGTATTTGTAAGGCAGCTCAATAATAGGGAGGGAGTCATTGTGCTCTATAAGGCCTGAAGGTGCAGCTGCGAAACAACAAACAGACGACGGTCACAATGATGTTCATTAGAACGACATGAATTATCAAACTCCACACCAACAATGGCTGTCACTTTTATTACATCCACCAAAGAGATTGTATGTTGATAGAGCTGTATGTTTTTGTTTTTGTCTTTGTCATAGCAGAATAATAAAGTACTGAACCAGTAATATAAGAGCTGGACACATGAACGACTTAAGTAAAAATGAAAATGAGGAAAAAGGTTGTGAACCTCCAACAGGAAGATGGAAAAGGACCTGACTGCAGACACAGAACCTCCACAGAGGCATGTGCACATGTGTGATTGGAGGTTGGACCTTTGGTTTGATCTCAGTCATTAACGGGAATCAAACAGTCTGACCAGCCAAGGTTGCTCTCTGTCCTGTCCTTTTTCAAGACTTTTTATCAAAAGACATTTCATGTTAAATACCAAAACTGAAGGAAGGTAAATTTCTGACTGAGGTCTGACCGCACACATGCTGAGCTACGTGATTCACATATCCAGATTAATTCTTAACTCCATTGAGTTTACTGACAATTAATGTTTGTGAAAATGAAAAACAAACTCTGAGCTAGTGAGATCATGTGCGCTATATCTGAGAGCTCTTGATAACTGCTGAAACCCAAGAGGCAAATTTCTAACTGAGCACGCACCGAAAGAGGCCTAATGTTCCGAGCTATTTTGCAAGCTGAAATATCGAACTCTCAAAGTCTGACATTTTATTTTGAAAGTTCGTGAAACAGACAAAACGAATGGAAATCTGAGTGAAGGTCTAGTTTTCAACCCTGCCTGTGCTTGCAGATGTCAAACTGCACACCCGCTCACAGAAGCCCGGTGTATCTGCAGCCAGGTGCTCTTGAGACTTCAATGTTTTTTATTCTATAAGCCTTAAAGCAGCAAGACGCCGCCATGCATCACTTCCGTTGAGTCTTATTCTCACTGTTAAACATGACTAAACAAGTGGTTGATGCTCAAAGCCCCAATGGTAAACTTTTCATTTGGAACTGTGTTTAGTTTCTCTGCTGAGTACATGATTTGTGCATTCCCAATAGATATTAAAATTACAGAGTACAGACCTGGAATGACCAGAATATGATTTTCATAAGTAAATGTAAAATCACATAAACACAAATATGTTTTTTTTTTTTTTTTGTTTATTTATGTTTTAACTTTTATTCATTTAAAATGGGGCTGTCATATCAACACATAGAGGCGGTATCCACCAGGGAGCTCAGTACAAATAGATAAATGAGTGAATTGTGGTTTTCTGTAACTAGTAATTTTACAAAATGCACAGATGCTCAATAAAGAAGGCAATTTTTGTTGTTCATAAAAAATGTGTCATATCTGTAAAAGCAGACAAATGGAGAATGATACTTATCGTCAAAGAGGCTTTTTGTCCTCAAAGGCCACTGTTGGGTCAATGAAAGGGGTGAGCAAAGGAGCATTTTAATCAAGTATCTGACTGCTAGACATTGCTAAATAGTCCTATTTCTTTGCCCTGTGGCTTTAAATAATGTTGTCAGACCATCAGAAAAACAATAGGAGTCTGTGAATGGCTAAAACCAGGACTTGTAGTGGCATGAGTTGATTTTTGCTCCGTGCAGTTTTGAGGTTTTCTGGTCTTTGTTGTTTAAATCTTGGTGTAAATATTTTACAAACTTTTCAGTTCTCAAAATGATGGTCCCAGAAACAGAACCCTCACTGTCACCTCTGAGATGGTTAAATGCTGCTCACAGCTATGATAATTATATAGTTTATTCATTATCAAAGACAATTAAGTTTCTCTTTGACGGCCACCCTGAATTTCAAAAGCATCAAACATTCTTTCTCCAACAAAATATGTCAGAGAAAAATTGTCATTAAACATGCAGTCACATCCATTTTCATTAGAGATCAAAACAGCTTTATAAAAAAGGTCTTAATATCCAAAATGTCAGCAGCTCATATCACCATCCAATGTGTTCCATTTCAGTTTCCTGTCATGTGGTTTGTGGTGCAAATGCACAAACTCCAAGTGCATCCATCTTTAATGGTGTACGTTAAAAGTGATCCACGGTTCTTTCAGCCCAGTGACATTTGTTTTGCTCCACAGTGACTTCATCTAGCTCTGCTGTTTGTAACTGTTCAGTCCATATTTCAGAGCGCAGTGAGCAAAGACAGATCTGAGACCATTAAGATCCAAACATCAGTGGGTCTAATCAGCAGCACACTACATAATTATACCTGCCTGTTTGCACTGAGAGACGTCGACCTGGGCAGGCAGAGCGCTCCATTATCAGCTGGCTTTGAAACCGAGCGCCGAGCTCTGGACAGCATTAAAAATAGATCTGTGACATTAACAGTGCTGACAGGCCGCCACCGTCACAGTCATAACTGTAAGAATCAATGATGGAGATCTACGATGAAACCTTTATTAGGTCTCATTCATCAAAAGTGGCACCAATACACACACACACACACTCATCCAGATGCTCCATACACACAGTGCTTATGGAAACGTGAAGCACTGCTGCAGAACTGCAATGGGTCGATGTTCAGAAAGTCAACCTCCTCTTTTACCCACCCTGAGCCCTGACTGACTAAAAAAGGGATCTTCGTATTATAAACCTGAACTGTAGTACAACATATTGTGGTTGTGTGTTACTGAAAGGAGCCAAAAGTATTTTAAAACTACTCCAGTCCACAGCAGCAAAAAAAAAAACAGGTTTTCATAAATACATCTCTTTTCTGGAAGCCTCTGAGCTCCATCATCCTGTAGGTTCCTCTGGATAACTGCTGCAGATGTTTTTCTGCCATGGACCTGCCTGCTTTTCAGCTGCTTCTGCTATGTTCATCAGTCTCTCCTCTGTCCATCTCCATCTCTCTCCTCTCTAATCCCAGTTCAGTTTCAGCAGATGACTGTCTAATATGAGTCTGGTTCTGCTCGAGGTTTCTGCTTGTTAAGGGAAGTTCTTCCTCTCCTGTGTAACTTGCTCAATCTTATCCCATCTTTACACTGGGTCTTTGTAAATAGAGTCTGGTCTAGACCAGCTTTTTTGTTCACACTTGTTGTGAACTGGCGCTATATAAATAAAGACTTACAGATTGTTTGATTGATGTTTCTAACTGCTGAATCATCAGGGTATCTTACACAGTTAAGGTTCTAGCTGACAGGCTATGACTATTTATCAGAGGACCATCTTGTCCTGTCTTATTTCTAAACCTAAACAGATAGGCTGTACTCGACCATTAGAATTGGTAATGCACAGTCTGGGTATATAGCTGCATACATACATGGAGATAAAGTGTGGGACCTGAGGACCTGTGGGACCTGTCAGGCAGTCAAGTCTACTTAACAACTTTCACCTCTGTCGTGGAAAGACAGTAAAAGGGTGATGCCATACTAGCTGGAGGAGGACTGAAAGTCAGTCAGAGCGAAAATTAGTGCAATTGATCTATCTATATATATCAATAGCACAAGCACATATGATGAAATTTGGAGAAATCTTAAGTACACTGAGTTGGTTTTATGTGGAAATAAACATTTAAACAACAATGACAACAACAAAAAATTCAGCCTTTTCACCAGCATACATGGAATATTGTCAATATATACATACACATATTATAACAACAACAACAAAAAAAAACATAGAGCAAAATAATTAAACAGCAAAATAAACTTACATGTCTGTAGTTCTGCTGATCTAAGATATGATATTTACAGGGGTCTCCTGTCCTTTCTCCCCCATAGTTCAGCAGGTTGGTGCTGCCTCAAAGTGCATTATCATGTTAACAAATATAAGTAATTCATCAAAAGTGTAGCTCAGTGCCTCTGTATGATAGCTTCTGTGGCTGGAAAACAGTGATTTGTTTCGTTGTGTGGATTTTAACAAGGCTTTTTACTTATTGCTTTCTTCTTCTATAGAGTAATTATTCTAGCCCTAATCTTCACATAGATACCTGGTTGCTGATGTCATACCTCAAGGTGCTATGGCAGCTTGTATCTTCAATATGCTGCAGTGCAACAGTATGTTCAACACTGTTTCAACAAATCAAATGAGGGCTACAATAGGTGAGTTACAGACTTTGACAAACTTTGAATGAGACTTCTGTGACATATGGTAAAGTTAGCAACATAAAAATCTGTTAGCATATGCTGGTTACTGTTGTAGCATACGTTTTTCTTGTTTAGAGAAGACCTCTTTTCTTAGCTATTTCGTTGCTTTCTTTACAGTCACAAGATTCCACTGACAACACAAAATTCATGTTGGAGAAATCAAAAGTTTCTGGTCCACTGCTGCCTTGATTGGATAGTTTGTTTGTAGGATTATGTCATGAATTAAATCTCATTCCTCAAGCAAATTTAGAGGACAGCTCTAATTAGGCACACTGACCCCCAAAGAGCAGGCTGCACTGAATCTTGATTGCAAGCCATTGCCGTTCCTTGTCTGATGATGCGATGCAACATTTGCCTCTGGGTTTCAACCTTTCAGTAATTGAGGTGTAGGTGGTGTTTGCATTTAAACACATTTTGCATTGCATCCTGCAGAGTAATGTCTGTTGAATCATTTCCAATTGATCTCAGTTTGACAGTAGACACATTTTGTCAGGTCTGTGTTTAGAAAGAGAAAAAACACCTTTTTGCATTGTTTGTTGAATGGATGTTGAATCCATCATTTCCACTGTGTTCTAGTAAACCTGTAAATACCAAGTTTTCTATCCATGGTCTGTTGTTGTATGCACATCTCTCTTTATAGAGATAGATTACTCATGATCAGGTTATCACCAGTGGGAACTGTGACGTCATTACAGTAAATTGTGTAATGCCTGCTTTTGCTCTCCACACTTTATGTTTTTTCCCCACATACACTAAAGCCCTCTGAAACATGCTTGGTCAGTGTAACCTGGACTACAAATGTGCAAAGACCACAACATTTTTGAGCCCTGAGAACAGATACAACATTTTTATGCAGAATCTGTAAAAGAGATCTAGTTACAACCACTGCTGGATGAAGCAAGCAGACTACATAAGCCTATTAGTCCTTTAGATACCATAAACTAGAGTTTAAAACGGTCCAAGTTTAGAAACAAACTGCTCCCCAAAGGTTTCTGTGTTCAAGACATAAAAGCAACGTTTCCTTGAATATTCTTCTTGAAATATAGCTTTTATGCTGCCAATAAGACATGCATACTGTCAACAGGCATTACTAAATGATTCATGAAAGAACCTGCAAATGGCAGGATTACCTCATGGAAAATGAGACGGGAGTGTCACATGTATTAGACACAGAGGAGTCAGGACTTTTCTCTCTGGAAGAAGTGTGAGAGAAAATCTTTACGCTCGCTCTGTAGTTCAAATGAAGGTTAAACAGAAAACCTGAAGCAAAAAAGCTCCAGATTGAATTATAAAGATAGAGTCACACCTGGCACCGGGTCAGCATCCCTTTTTCTGAATCCACCCCAATTTACTGCACTCATTTTATCCTACTGAAATATGCAATTACTGCTAACAATGAGGGCCTAATAGAGTTCCTCTATTCTTCTCTACAGTCTGTTTTACAGTGAACATTTTGACCCAGGCAGAGGAAAAAGCACAGGTGTAAATAATAACCTCAATAACTGCTCTATCTTATTCAGGTGTCTGAGTCAGCCGGGACAGGCAGTCCGCATGCACAATACCAGCGACCTAAAACCGAAGCAGCTTTAACAGCATACAGTCACCTCTGCTTTTCCTACTGCAGTGTGTTAAAAAGGTCCTCAAAGGTGCATTCAATGATGTGGTTGTTGCTGCTTCATAGGTTCAGTGATTATAGGACACTTTGCTTTGGCTATTAAAGGGTTTAAGGTGCAGATGAAGGGAAATCAGCGGAGTAAGGCCAGAAATTTAGCAGTAACTAAAAGATTGTTGATTTGTTGCAGAAGAGAATTGATGAGAAAAAATATGTAATGCATCCAAACAACAGGTATGAAATTAATGAGCTTAAAAATGAGAAGGTTGTTGTAGAAAAACAACACAGAGCATTTAAAAATCAAAGCATATAAAAGTTGAAGAGCTATCAGAAGCAGGGCACAGTGAAGAGAGGAACTTACCCGTGTGTGGGTGCGGATGTGCATCTTCAGGCCGTCGTTCTTGCTGAAGGCTTTGTCACAGTACGGACACTGGTATGGACGCTCACCTGGTGGACAAAAACAGTCAGTTTGCATGTGAAAGGGTAAAAAGGTGTGATTGATACTGCACCACAGTTAATTGAACAATTCTGTGAAATAGTTTTTCAATTTTATATGTACTGCAAATTTTCTTTTGTTTGCCTAACACAGATTCACCAGACTGTTTTACATTTTCCAAACAAGAGCCTGGCTGCAATGAATCGAGAGGCTGATATGTGCCCATCACAGATATTACTACAGTATCCACATAACTATCTGCTAACCAGCTGCTGAGAACTAAAAATACCATTAATCAGCCCGATCGTTACACCAAACAACTCATTGGTCTATCTCCAATTTTCACCCTTATTGATAGGACAGCTAAAGGGAGACAGGAAATATGGGGAGTAGAGAGTGGGGAAGACAGCAAAGGGTCCTGGCTGGGGGTCAAATCAGCCACTAGGACAGCAAGGACTACAACCTATTCACAGGGGCCCACTACCACCTCAACATAAAAACTCTTTTGACGAGTTGCAAGAGACAAAAGTAAGCGTATAAGCCACAGAGGATCCTGCTAAGTTTGGTCAATTTGTATTTGACAAACAAAATAAAAGCTAGGCTATCAAGAGCTGCAAGCCAGGTCAGCTCAACCACTTTAACTTTAGAAGACCAACCGCAACACTGATGTCTGTGGAAGTGTTCATGCTTTTAAATTCTTTTGAGCTTTGCTTTGCCATCAGAAAGCCCACTGGCTGTTTAACTACTCTCAAAAGTACATTGTAGGTTTGATGTAAAAGAATCAATCATCCTTTACACTGTCATGAGTGTTGAGGTAAAAGTTTCCTTAATTTTAGCTGAATTATCTGGTGGAGTTTATCCACTCTGAAGTCGATGGTAGCATTGCTTCTAATTCGGTTCTCCATTTGGTTTCTCACCATAACAGCTGAACCAACTGGGGTCTGCTGAGGGTAAAACTTCAAGACACACAACTATCTGTTTTCAAGACAGGAGAATGAGATTTTCATCAGCAGAAATCTCTATTAACTGATGCAGAAGGAAAAAACAGCAAAGAGATTAGAGTTCACATGTCCACAGGAACGTTGTCCTCTGAGCTTTTGAGACACATTTGGATAACTGTGTATGAATTTCAGTCAACTTTCTGGATTTGTTAAGTACATTTTCCCCTCTGATACCAGTATTGGTCTCAAAAGTCCTGTGAGTAAAAGACAATACTCAAACTTGAAGAGTTTCACTTTCACGGAGAAGAAGAAAACCTGAAGTTTACGTAACATGGCTGTGCTGCAGAGTGGTGTCTCGTCTTACAGTAAGCGTGCACATGTTGCTGCCTCCGTCCTGTGTTCCTCCTGACCTCCTTTGACAGAGCTACTGCCAGACCAGATAACTTCCTTTCAGACTCCTTCATTTCGTACGCACGCTGACTTTCCACTGTGCAGTTAAAGCTTATGTTGGCTTCCCTTCATGGCTTGCTATCTGAGCCCCAACTGGCCAACAGTTTAGGAGCACATCAGAGGCAATGTGGCTTATCCGAACTGGATCAAAAGGGGGTCCAACCAAACTCGCACAGATCCTATCTGAGCTCCCTGCCATGATGACAAAGGGAAAGTGACGTGCTGTCAGTCAAACAAGCTGCTGACACATGGATCTGTTTACCGCCTGCTGACCCACGAGCCAGATAAGAGTAGCTGAGCTGATTACTAAACTATAGACGGGATATGAGGTAACCTACAGAACCACACTAAAATTACAAAAAAGGAAAATACAGCAGAAAAATGATGAGAAAAAACCCTCAGTTTAATAATTTCTCTTTAAAGGTGCACACTTCACCAGGAGCCTCACGCAAGCAAGATCATGTGTTCTAAAAATACTGCAAGAAACGTACATTTTAGTCCCAATAAGAAATGTCATCTTTGAAAGTTTCAACAGACACGTTTAATAAAAATACAGACCTACAGCTACACATTTGTGCTCATTCCTCCACTAGCACCATCTAATATCTCATCTGCTTCACATAAACCTAATCTGTCTTCAGTGACTAATTGTTGAACGGGCAGGCGGGTGGTTTTATTGATGGGGGAGATGCTCTGTCCCTTTAAGTAATAAGGTTAATTAGCTGTGTTTCCTTGGGATTCAAAGATGCTTATTAAATCAGAAAATCCATCTAAGGAACATCTGAGAAGAGGAATATTATCCCTCCTGCTATAAACACAGCTGTGCAGAAGGACAGTTTCTTTACGGGTTCTTCCAGTGATTAAGAAGGAAGTGTTTTTGAATGTGAGTTCATGAGGAGTTAACGTGCACAGACAGACGTTCAAGGGTAGTTTATCTTTGCAGGAACAAACATCTGTAGGATATGTAAATACTGAGCATTAAAAGATCAGTTTATTACTTTCTACACAAGATTATCCACATTCAACTTTATGTCCATGCTTGGGCTCAGCCAGGAAAGTTCATATCAAAACTACCTTGATTTGTATGGAGCCTTTCTTAGGAGCTTTACAAAAAGTAAAGCCTTCTGATACAGTGAGGTTACTATAAATACTAATTATAGTTTTCAAACCAGGGACATGTTTGGGGGTCTACATGAAGGATGTTCAGAAACACACACACACACACACACACACACACACACACACACACACACACACACACACACAGACATTGTAATCATAGACAAACAGCAGAGGTAAGCCGTTGTGGTAAGTGTCGCCATCCCAAGCGATACCAACATCAGCAAGAAGGAACACGAGAAACTAGAGAAGTACCAAGGGCTCAGAGAGGAGATAGAGAAAGTCTGGAGGGTGAAGGCAACATTGGTGCCTGTGGTCATCGGGGCACTTAGGGCAGTAACCCCCACATCGGAGAAGTGGCTCCAACAGATCCCTGGGGAAACATGAGACATCTCACTACAGAAGAGTGCAGTCCTAGGAACAGCAAGGATACTGCGCAGGACCCTCAAGCTCCCAGGCCTCTGGTAGAGGACCAGAGCTTGACCAGAGGGTGGGCGAGAGTTTTTTTAGCTTTTATATAAAGGTGGACTAAAAGGATATATATATATATATATATATATATATATACCCCACTTCTTCTAAGCACCAGTTAGAAATGGTCTGAAAAATAACAAAGAAAAACAAAAGAAAAAAAGCTGCTGGTGGACACAGGCCCTTTCAAACCTTTGAGCGACAGTACTTTGATTGGTGAACTGGCCACAACATGTTACCATAATTTCATACTCTTAGAAGTCTGCCAAGTAAAACAACTGATCAATTCTCTAGTTTTATTCCTGTGGCCCTTCTGACCTCAAAATATGAATTAATGTATTTTCCATGTTTAATTAGACTAATACGTCCCTCCAAGATCTTTAACATTCCTTTTTAATAACTGTTTAGAACAAGTGTAAGCTGGTACACTGGCACTGTGACTTTCTAAATAGTTCTCATTCCAGCCTTTGATTGTAAAAAAGATTTAATGGTTATATTTAATGTTTTAATATCCCCCCAATCCTGAGTCTTTAACAGAATAGCTGGGACAGCTGTCATGTAACAGATGTACACGTCGGGGTCTAAACCCACCATAAACCCCCCACCCAGCAGAGGGCTTCAGAGGAGCACGAGGAGGAGCGCTGTGACATAAAGCAATAAAATGTTTAACCTCACGTTGTTGGAGAAAGGGTTAACGTGACATATGTGGACTGATTACACAAAATGAAACATGTGCAGAGGGCAGTTCGACATTCTGTCCCTGTCCGTCTGTGCGATCTCAGCCTGTAGGAGGCCTTTTGTTGACAAACAGGAAAATCTGAATCCCAGATGTGTTTTCAGAAAGAAGAGAGCAAATCCTATGTCCTGTGTAGCATGTGTGGTATCGGGTTAAGGCCCTGCGCTGGCCTTGGGGAGTCCTGGGGAAGGCATTAGTGTGCTAATAGCACTGGAGCACAGAGTGCCAGTGTACTTCTGCGGCTTGGATCACATCCCCCCCAGGAGCCGGCTATTGTCGATAATACACCGCACAAACCACCACGCCCTGCTAACACATAAGTGCACACCAATTCACCTACTTAACCTGTACGCTCCCTGAGTCTGGACATGTGCGACTCAGCGGGGAAAGAAGAGAAAATGATGGTATTTGATATTTCAAGAGAGGTCATTCATAAATACGCCACTTATGGACTCAAAACTACATTCAAGTCAAGAATTTTTGGCTTTTGGAAAGCCTGGACCTGCTCAGAGTTAAACAAGAGAAACTCAATCCTTTAGTGGAACAGGAAATAAACAAACGGCACTTGGAAACTTAAGTAGTAACTTTCTGGCAACATTGCTCTGTGTTATTCATGTGAACGAGGGGTGGGGAGGTGGGGGGGCTCAGTGTCTGTTCTGCTGAGTGTTACTGTAACTGGAAACCCTCCACTTATTCTCCAGATTGAGCCAGATTGTTTGGGGATTATGAGGGGTGGCTGCAGCTCTGAGCCGGGGCTTTATGTGTGAGGGGATGGTAACTGATTTAGCATGTGCTGAAACACAACACCATCTCTTTGACCCTGGGTGTCTCCCCCGGCCCCTGCTGTGGCCCTCACACTCCTTGTCTGCTAATCGATCCGTTTGGCACCCCTTGTGTGTCGTATGTGTGTGCGTACGGCCGTGTGTCTGGTTAGCAGATGGTCGGCTTTGTCGTATCTGCCTGCTGCACAACGTTCGTGTTATGGAGAGAGTTTTGTAGCTTCAGGGCTCCGGTCTGAAAGACATTAGTGCTGTCCATCAGAAATTAATTCACCACTTCCTCCAGTTCAGCCAGACAGTGGCCCTGTACTGTCCTCCCCTCTGCCCCACGTCACATACTGACAGGGGCCGCAGAGGTAATGTGATATCAGTGTGTTGGAGATGATAAGAGATCGCCTTTGATGAGCAGTCTGAATGCCTGACAACTTTTACACTTGACCTTTTCATCATAGCCGGGGTCTCCATGGACCTCTCTACTTCCACAAACAATTCTCTTGAACTTGCCCTCATGAGGGTAACTGAATCAGACACACTGATACCCCACATGCAGCTGATCGAAACTGTCAACGCAAACATCAATACCATCAAAATTAGAGGCCAGTGCCTATTCATGGGACAGTATTTACATAATTTGGAGTCTAAGTGACATAAATGGTAGCTAACAAATGTGCAGAAGCCTGATGATCTTCAACAGGGACAGCATCCTAAAAATTAAGGAACAGTGCACGAAATAAATGCAGTGATGCTAACATGCTGAATAACCCCAAAATGAGCATGTTACAAAAAAAGTCATGTGAGGCCCCCCCAGCTTATAAGACCAGAGCCGTCTTTTTGAACCAGACCGTAAACTTGTTTTGGGCTTTTGTTTTAACAGGCTTTTTGTGGCTCAATGTGTGCATGCATTTTGGTGCTCCTGTAGCCCACCTCAGGTGGGCACCAAGTGAACTGTAGTTTTAAGCGCTTCCACACCAGTTTCATTTCTCAGGACTGGAGGATGCTGCTTGGTTCACTGCTTGTCTTCCTAGCACTTATCTAACAATGTTAAATTGTCATGAACTGTTCTACTCAGCGCACCTCAGAGACCTGGACCACTTTAGTTGTCTTGTTTCGCAGTTTTTCTTTTGAGGATCACGTTGGTGTTTGATTGTCCTTAAATTTGTATTGTCTATGTTTTTGTAGCACATTTGTAGTTAATGCAGGTTTTTGACTGCATGTGCTTTGCATTATGTTTTCTCTATTTGTGTATGACTTTACAGCATGCTTCTCTTCAACTCAACTCAACTCTAACCTTATTTATAGAGCACATTTAAAACTACCAGGTCTGACCAAAAGACTGAACAGATTAAAAGCAGCTGAGATGATCAAAGTGCAATCACAGTAATTACAAAAAAATAACATGAATACTAAAATACAGAAACATAAAACACAGTGCTATAAAATGGAATAAAATAAAAAAGATATCAAATAAATTTAAATTAATCTCTTGATGGAGATCATTTCAGCAGTTGCAGATGAGTTTGCCTCAGCATGGTGCTTAAAAAGTTCTTGAATTGTTAAACTTAATTTAAGCATACTACCTTGAACTAGGCTATAATGGCTGAAACCAAATCCAAGTGCAAACAAGTGCATTCAATCTTTTTTTTGTTTTTTGCTAATAAATGTTTTTATTTCCTTCATTTGCTACAGACAGGTTTATATTCTTATTTCAAGGATATTGGCAGAGACTGACATTTATGTGAGGATTAGATCAGGTAGCAAGCTCTTGTGATGAAAAATTAAGCCAATGCTTAAGGGCAAAAGAAGCTGTGGTTTCTTGAGTGTTCACTTGAAGCTGTCTGGAAAACCGTGGAGCTCTCTTTGACACCCGTTTCAAAATGCCAGTTTTCACAAAAAATAAACAATTTTACAGCCTGGTGCAAAAGACAGTTAAGATCTGAACCACTCATTTCATTATTCATATGAAGAGTAGTTGAATTTTACATTAAGACTTATAGTTACGTGTAGATCTGCATAATCAGGGCTGTGACTGACAAGTAAGATGGAGCTGTTTGCCAGGTGGCTTAACGCCCACCTAAACCTTGGTCTGACTCAAGGTTGGCGGGCAGTTAGACTGAGTCAGCATTTCCAATATGGCATCCACCATCTATTGGCTCTAAAAGGCCTTGGAAACCAGTGGATGATGTCAATGAGAGTATGTCTGAGTTAAAAGAAAAAAAAAAACTAACCATTGAAGGTAACTGTAGATCAGTAACTCACATAAAATTACTGCTTTTTCCCTCCAAGTCTAAAGTGAACGTCTTCACAGCTGTTAACAGTTTAAAAAACATGTTGCTCGTTCACAAAAACGCCATCGTTTCTTTGACATTGTTAGACATCTCTAATAATGAAACATTTATTAAATCTGATCGGTCACAAAAGAAAGCACTTGGAGGACTGCCATGGCCACACACAGATGATGCAAATGTGTACTGTCAAAGTTTGACAAAAAGACTTGTTTTTGTATCTCACTGGCTGAAATATTATCTTACGATCCTACATTACAAAAAAAAAGAATCACTGCAGAGATTCACTATTTTAGGTAAGACTCTCTTTTACAAACAGGAAAAAAGACTCAACAGCTCCATCAGAAATCAACAACTCCAAACTAATTTTGTGAGTTGACATTAGAGTTTTACTCAATTGATATGGTGGCTTAAAATAAATAAATAAATAAATAAAACAGGGGTATATGTCCTTAAGCCACATGGTGCTTTTTAACTACAGGAACTTTCTCCTGGAACTAGATACCTTTTGAGAAACTGTGCACATTTCACCTAACTTTTTACCTAGGGTCAAAAGCCACTGCTTGGGGGTGGGGGTGTACTTTCCACTGGCCCTGAATTTCAGGCCCCTGGTGGAAATACAGAGAACAATGGACTAAAGGAACTATTTAATTCCTTAAAAAGAAGTTCCTGGAACTAAAAGTTCTGGGTATTTTGGGTCAAAAATGCTCCCATAGTTTCAATAATATAATGTTTTCCGCAGATTTCTGGGGAATGTAAAAAGTCTGTTACTGTATCTTTGTACTGAACCTTTACTTACTGTACGGACTCAACCTCACTTTTGGTCAACTTATTTTCCCTGTGAAGATATTATTTATTTTGAATGGGTGTGTATGTGGCTTCTGGTGTTTTTGCTGCTAGCCTCAAGTGGACACTTGTAGAACTGCAGTTTTGGGACTTGAATGTCGGTGCCATTTCTCACAAGGTTTCATCTTGGTTTTTGTTGAAAATCACCCACTCCACTTTAGAAGAGAAAAACGTACATCTCCACAGGAGTGATTTTTAAACCTTGTTTGACACCTGAAATAACCTATTTATAGTTTCTGCTTCTCTTTGCAAACACAGGCACTCTTATCAATGGGATCAATGGGATTTAACGCCAAGAGTTACATCACAGCCATTACAGCCTGTTTCATCGCTGACAACTGAGGTGATCAAGTGGAGCGATTTCAGTTGTTTTTGGAACTATTAGTCATTGTGAAGAGAAAATAAGGCCCAGATTTAAGGACAATGTAATAGCCTTTAAAGGTTCTGCATCCACAATGAGTTTAAGTTGCATTAGAGAGAAACTTTTTATCAGAGAGACATATAATCATTTACTACACTGTGTTTTTATGTACAAGATCGTAACCATGACCACAGTGACAACAAACAAATAATCTGTGTGTAAATAGGTTCAGTGATTCCAGAGTTCTTCCAGATGTCCATCTGAGGGCAGTTGTTGTGTCGTGAGATCAGTTAATGTGCAATGTGCAGCTCTTTGAACCATCTAAATATGGCTGTGTATAATTACTGTAACAAATGACACCCTGATCACGACAATAAGCTTCCTCTGACCAGAGCCAGGAGTGAACGCAAGAGCTGGTTTTCACTCTTGTTAATGTACAAAAAGGAAAACACAGATGAGAACATGATTCGTTGCCATGTGTTCAGCCATTGTCTCTCTCTAAATTCAAAAACAGGTGATCAAATATAACACCGGTTGTTTAAGATCTCAAAAAAGGTTATAACACTATGTAAAGTGATAAGACAGAATGTAATGGTTTGCGTGAGTAAATCTTTAATTTCTTTAATACTGTATCAAATCATGTCAGTTTTTAAAGTTCTGGGTTTTGTGTTTTTGATGGTCAAGAGAAGATAGGACTGCAGGACCTGGACTCTTTTACTACAGAGCAATGCTGTTGTAATAAGAATAATAATAATAAGAAGAAGAACTTTATTAATCCCTGAAAGGAAATTCAATAATATGTACAAAATGGTTTTTGTCCTTGTCTTGCTGAAACATTAAGGTCTTTCAACATATAGTCATTGTCTGGATGGCAGCATCTGTTGCTCCTGAACCTGTATATATTGCTCAGCTTTAATGGAGCATTCACAGATGTGTATGCTACCAATTACAATGACATGTATGATCCCCATGCTGGCTTTTGTACTGTGCAGTGACAATGAGTAAAGGTGGTCCCTCCCCTCTTTAAAATGGAAAATGCAGCATCCATGATTTCCAAAAAGAATGTCAATTTTTGATTTATCAGGCTACAGGAAAGCTTTCTACTTCTGCTCAGGCTATATAAAATGTATATATTTAGGGAAATGTCCTGTGCTTCCTTATCATGATTATTTATGGTTTTCTCTTTGCATGGTACAGCTTTAACCTGCATTCATGGATGCAGCAGTGAACTATGTGTCCTCAGAATCTTTTAATAATATCCTGTACTGCAGATCAAGTCAGGTGAAGCCAAGTCATGCCTCTTTATTATCCATAAGCGCTGTATGTGCTAGACATACACAGAAATAAAAATAATAATACAATAAGAAGAAAAAAGTCATATTCAGGTCAAGATTCAACTTTATATATTTTCATAATAATATCAAGTGCAGACAGCGGGTGCAATTGGCAGTAATGTGGTCAACAGGTGATAATGTAAACAATACTTGAGTTTTAGAGCAAAAAAGATCTACGAATGATGATAACTGCTAATTCCATGTAATTTTATGATGGGGAACCTTAATTTAAAATCATAGAAGTTATTGCTCACACAGTCTCTCACAAAGTTTTGAACCTCTTCCCATCTTTACTTCTAAAAGACTCATCTTCCCTATTTTATCCAGAAAGTTTTAGAAACTGCATCTGGCATCAAATTTAAGACAAGCAAAAATCTTCATAAAACAAGCAAGTTAGTCAGTCTGAAAATGTGATGTGCTGTCTTTGTTCCATATTTAATTAAAGACAGGGGGGAAAAGGAATTTTCAAACTATCAAAATCTGTCTATGAACATTTTATACAGCATCCCAAATAGTTTGGAGCTAGGGTTGTATTTGGTCTCAGTGGTGTTGAAGTATGAAAATTAAAGGAAGTGGTTATAATGAATTACTAGGGAATTTTGAAAGTCTCATTACAGACAATATGAAGATTTATTACAATGAATGCAAACAGTTGGTCCAGATCTACAGTGGTGCATCATTTCAGGAGGGTTTAGGAGTCTGAGAGACTCTCAGCTCTGCAAAAACATCAACCTCCTGCACTTTTCAGGGTGAATTATTTATTTTGTTATTTTTTATTCATAAAAAGCGCAATGTTAATATTTAACACAAATACTGCTTTTTGGTGCAATGTACAAAAGTAAGAGCCAATTCAGGCCTCTCTGTGCAGATCACAATCAAAACACCATCTTCAAAACATGGATGAAGCTGCACAGAGAGGATCAACCAAGTAACTAAGACTCAAGAACAGCATTGTTCATTCAATTTGCAACAAAATGACACCAATTAAAGACAATCCTGAGTTAAAACCAAAACTCTCTGGAGAAAAAAAGCAAACTGAAATGGCTTAAGCAACATAATCAAATCAGACAGACAAGACATCCACTACTCGATCGCTCAGTGTGAGGTTGGAAGCCACGAAATGGCATCTCAGACACGACGTCATAGAGACGTGCCCGCTGGAGTCCTGTTATAAGGTTTAAAATGCCACAGCAATTTGTTGTAACACAGCTCATGCTTCACACTAATCCCTGTGCCCAAACATGACATGCCGTATGATGTCAGTATGACACCGAGGCTCTGCGCTCCCTCACATTTCCCCTGGCAAAAATAATCTTCACGAACCCACTGTGCTTATTTACCACATCATGGCACACATGGTGGGAAAATCTCCCCTCACTGAGCTGTGATGTGGAGGAGCACACATTTACGCCGTCAGTGGGCCAAGGCGAATCATTTAAAAAATGACAGAAACATCCATCATGACTCCTGAGTTCACCAACGTCCACTTCCAACTTTTTGACAGCTCTCATTTTGCGGTGATCTCATGCAAAGGAAGACGCCTGTCTCTGTGGCTCTGCAGCTGATGTGTTTGAGCCTGACATGATGTTCTGACTAAATAAAAACTGTATGAAAAACTGAGACAAATATGACATTCTCAACTTAATGTTTTTAATCTTTCTCCATCAGATTTAGCCCCTAAACACCCCCTAGTGTTTGACAGTAACCTGATATGAGAGGAAACCTTCCAAAGCCCTCTGTGTTTAGCAGGTAAATAATCAATGCTGACCTCTTCTTGTGAAGCAGGAAGACAAACAAGATCAAGCTTTCCTGTCAACGCTGAGGAGAAGCTGTCGATTTTAAGGTCTTTACCTCAGCTGGTCGCCGTCTTTAAGAGGCTCCTGACAGACAAACTGGCCATCTTTAAAGTTTTACTTACATCAACAGTGTCATTTTACGATCGCCTAAAAAAATTCCAGATATATCCTCATGTGGGTTATGTGCACCCCTGAAATCAGTCCTCACTGTTTGAGAACAAGATGTCAGGATTGTCGCCTGGGGAGCTTATTTTTTCCCCTCACACACAAAAACACAACAAACAAAAAAAAAGCCTCGACTATAGAATGAGGGGACAGATTTACAGCCAGTCAGGGTCAAGGGTCATCCGGCTGGATGCTTTCTTGGAGTGGTCTTTTCTCTCCTTTCTCCTTTCTTTCTTTGAGGTGTCCCCTCGGCTCCCACCCCTCCCCCAGCATTCCTCTCCTTTGTTTATTCTATATAAATACAATCAGAGCAGGCCCACACTGGTATACATTCTCCTTTTCTGTTGGTTTGTCCTTCACACATACACACATGTACGGAAACACACAAACACACAGCTCGCACACACACAAAGGGAGCTGTTGACAGAGTGTGGTAGGCTTGTAAAGGGACCACCGTCCAACCACTATACAAATACACACACACGCGCACACACACACATTTTAACACAATATACACTTGTCAACTACTGACGGGGACACTTTTAGACATTACAGATGATTTATTTATTTATTCGGTGTATAAAGAAAGATGGAGCCTGGCGACTTATATGAAGCTATCGGTAAATTAACAAATAGTTTTTAAAAAATCGCTTAATTAGGCTGACTGAAATTGCACTAAATCAAACTCCTCATAGACAGACTAACATACCTGGGTAAAGCTGTTGGGGACTGATTTTCTCTGTCATGAATACATGGCGATATGGGCTAAAAAATTGACCATAATGAGATTTGCCATTCTTGCGATAATGATAAAAGTCCCGATAAAAAATATTACAATTCCAATCTATAATTTTGACTCATTTTGTCTTAAGAACACCAGTTGGAGAAGTCAAATAAGATATTTAACCACAAGTTTGAGTGGTAGGTTATTGAGAAAACTAATGACATCAAACAAGTTTCAAATGTGAAAACAATTTCCACAGTTATCAAACTCTTGTTGCACAGAGTGAACATCAGCAGCAGATCCACTGTCCGATGTCAGGCATACCAGATTGCGCTCATCTAAGCCCCAGTCTTGAAGGAAGTCCCTCATGTGGAGCCTCGTTTAGTAACGAGCTGCTCAGAAAAATCTTCTTCATTACCTTCGGCCATGTTTGTTTGTTATTCTGCTCTGTGTGGGCTATGGCTGCGAGTCCATCACTCAGGCTTCTGTCGTCAACTTGCATTTATCGTATTTATCATGAGATGGCAAATATTAATCATGAAGGATTTTTTTTATGACATATCGTGAACGTTAATTTATCGACCATTCCTACCAGGAAGTAAACTAAACTTCAACAAAGAAAAACTATTAAATTCTTGATATCTAGTTTATAATATTTATCAGTTTCCTGCTTTTCTTTGTAGTCACGTGACCCCTGAGGTAATTACAATGTGTAACTGACTCAAAACACAGTGGGGGTCACGCATGTCTTGCACTTATTTTGGGGGTCATAGTTTGAAAAGTTTGGGAACCCTTGAATTACACCACAATAAGAGAACTAACATCAATGCACGAAGAATCAAACCAGTAGGTGAAGAGTTACAGTTTCAAAAGCCAAGTTCACAAAAAACTCACTATATGTTATTTTGTGTTTGTGTGTTATACATTTGTTGTGTTGTGCACCACTAAATTCTGAGGAAAGTTGCCATTTCATGTGAACAGATCATCTTCCTCTGAATACATAGGTCTGGATATCCTTTCTGTGATTTTGTCAGACACTAAAAATAACAGCTAAACACTTTGAGTGGACATGTTTGGATTCTTTAAAGGAAAAAGAGTTGCGGCCATTAAAGCAATTTTGTGAAGTCAGTCAGGACGTTTTAAAGAGACCGATCCTATGGACCAAAATATGTGGAAATAATAGTTCTAACAAGAACATGGCCATGGTTTTAAAACACTAGATCTCCATTTAAGGGCTTTTCAGCAGGAGTGTCTGATGCCAGAAAGCAAGCAGAGTAAAGCGTTTATTAAATCCTAGAAAAACAAGAGGACAATAAGAAGACCACATGAAAGAGGAGAGGAGACATTCAGAGGGAGTGAGGAAAGGAGGGACAGAGCCAGGAGATGGCAGAGAAAAAGAGAAAATGAAAGAGTGAGTGAGTGGAGGAGTTTGGAGGCCAAGAACTGTGCGTGCATGTGTGTGTGTGAGAGAGAGAGAGTGTGTGTGTGAACGTGTGTGTGCCAGGGCTCTGCAGCAGTCTGTTGGTAAGGAAACACACAGGAATGTGTGTCCTTCCAGTTTAAAGCAGTTTAATAAACATCCAGTGCTCCATCTCTGAGGCTGAGCAAAGACTGGAGTAATGAAGCAGGACGACATTAGTAGGGCTGGGTCCAAAAAAATCGATTTTCCGATTCAGATCAATTTTTTATTAAAAATTTTCAATATCGATTAATTATATATAAAGATTGATCTTTAATTTTCTCATGAATTGAGTCATATCGAAATCGAATTGATTCAGGAAATCAGTGGCAATACCCAGCCCTAGGCATCAGGCTGAAATCCTATCATGATTAAATCGGACACTCATTCACGTGTTTCATGGTGTAAAATCAGAGAGTTGGAAGCTCCGACCAGCAGCTTCTTCTTTGGCATGTATATCAGTCCAAGGAAGTCTGCTGTAGCATATTCTTGGAGAAAAAGGTAAATGGTGTGTATCGCTAACAGACTCCTTTAGTTTCGGATGTGGTTGAGTACACCACTTTTGATGAACTTTTCTCCCTTATTATGGTAAAATCCAACTTTCAAAACAAACTATTTCATACTTCAGAGTAAATACAAATTATTATCATGTTGGTTTTGCTAAAAAGTCTTTAGAATTTAAGAAACAGGTGACAAGGCCAAAGTGGCAGACATCTCTTAGCATCCTGACCGCCTCTGGTATGTTTGCATTGTTACAGCTAAACTCGAAGATGGAGTTTGTCCACACTAACTTTTTTTCAATTATCAAGACAATAATGCACCAATAGTGACTTTTCTCCATCATATTTTGTTGTTTATCAATTCCTCTTTTGTTTTTTTGTTGTGATCTATTAGTTAGGCATCATGCACCGATTAATTTCATTAATTTCAACGTTATTAATTTATCTGATTTATTTGTTTTTATTGTGTTCAGAAAATAAAACTTGGACCCTGTTCCAGAACTTTTTTTTTTATCATGTTTTATCGGGTTAAAATAAAGAGCTTTTGGTTACCATAGTAACTCACAATCACCAGCCTGCATCATACCTGCAAACTGTATATTAGTGTTTGAGCAATATTGTTTTGAATGGCCAAAGAGCAGGTCGGCTGATGTCTGATATATAACGCAAAATTATTATTATTATTATTATTATTATTATTATTATTATTATTATTTATCCATTTATTTTTTTTCCCTTATCATAGATTTGACTTCACATTACCAATTAATTTGAAAAAAATCTTTACTTGGTAAATGAGACAATACGATATACCACCAGACAAAATATTCTAGTTCTGTGTGTGTTAGTTTTCATGTTATTTGGGTTTGATTTTTCTATGAGTCAACTGAAAGCTGCATTATTTCTTCCAGTGTCTGTCAGAGTCTTCAAATTGCATCTTCACTAAACACACACACACACACACACACACACACACACACACACACACACTCAAACTGATAAGGAAAAGTTAGGGAGTAACTTCTGTCACCAGTGCAAAATAATCAGATTACTAAATAGCTGCATGCACACGTGGATTTAAATTAATCAGGGTTGTGAACTGTGTGTAAACAACTTTTCAGCAGACTGAAGGAGTGGAGCATCGAGTGTTATGTAGAGTGGGTATTTATGTAACACATGAGGTTTTTATCTGACTCTGAAATAGGGACGCCTTTAAGCCTGGTTTATACCTCTCCGTTTATTCCAAACCAGAGTGGCCGACACCGTCATGAGCACTAGATTAAGTTGGAGATGATATGTGTCATGCAGCAGTCGATCAAACTGCAATTACGGCAGAGAAGAAAAGAGGAGAGACTCTGGAGGAGAAGGACTGCACAACTACGGAGGCAGAGAGTGGGGGGCAGTGGTGACGTCCGCTACCAGGAGAGAGCATTTGCAGGTCTAGTGTCCATGTTGTGAATGAATAAATAAATAAATGCTTTTATCACCATTGCAAAAAAATATTCAATGGCATTAAAATTCAAGTCCATGTGGTTATAAATAAAAAGAGTGCTTTTAAAAGGACGAAGAGAAAACACAATTAAGGTTAAAGTGTGCAAGACAAAACAGATATCAGCAACAATTCATATAACTGTAAGACTACAGCCTTAAACAGTAGGATGCTGTCATTGCACTATTTTATAGGCTTTGTGTCAGGTCTAAAATGGTAGACCTAGAGTTCACTTCTCTGAGTGGGTAAAGGCTTTTCATGAGTCTTACTGATGCAGGCGTTTAAGTTTAGGTCCAGCGCAGGAGTAGAGAACAGGCTGTAGACTAATGCCATTTATGACCGACACAGTAAACTCAGGTAATCAGCGACAAAATGTTTTTTTCATTCTGCTTATTTTAGCGCCTGTGTTTGGGTCGATTTCTTGCAGCACAGGACATAAAAAATGAAACTTTTACCATCGTACAAACAAACAGTCCAAAGCTGCAAAAGTGATGTGTTTTTTTGTAGAACATCAGCTTCTTGCTAATTTTTTTTTCTATGTAATAGACTCAACAGTAATGCGATTTTTGCCTGGTGCTTGTAATCAAGGACGAGGACAGAAGTCCAGTTAAATTGCCTAATCGAGTTATGACCATAGTTCGGCTGAACAGCATGTTAAAATACTAGGAGAGACCAACCAGAGCAGAGCAGAGACCAGACAGATGGAGAGAGCGCTATAGCTGCTTCTGATGTTAAAAAAGAAAATGTGCGGTGGATAAAATCTTCAGATTTAGAAAGAAGATTGAAGAAAAACCACCTTCTGTGTGAATAAAGTAGTTTTACCTGAGCTTAGAGTTAAAGCCTGGTTCTTATTCTTGTGATCACCCTTTGTATATTATGACGATGTTAATAACAGCTGATTGGAAGTTGATTTTCACAAAGCGTTGCACTGACCTGTGTGGCTGCGGATGTGGACCCTCAGCGTGCCGTTGCTGGCGAACTTCTGTCCGCAGTACGGGCAGATCTTCTCCTTCTCCCCCGTGTGAGTCTGAGGAGAAAGCAGACATGTGGTAGATGTTAAGAGAAACATTTGTAACATCCATCCTGGACAGCAAAAGCAAAATGTGATCAGCTGTGATAGCTGGGACTCAACATCCGAACATTTGACTTATCAGAACAGAGAAAATCAGATTTATCATGCTGTATATTCGAACATAATCTGATTTCTCTTCGTTAAAGCAACTTCAGAATCAAGATCTGTCTTTAAAAGCAGTCCTAAGAGCATATTTGTAAACGCTCTGTCTGAGTGGGTTAAGAATGCACAGATAACTAAGTAATAGTGTCTAAATGGAGATGCACATGTTTGCATGACAGTAGATCCACTGAGTTGCCCTGAAGGCAGGATCAAAGAACACAGACGATGCAGATTTGCCAGGGTCTAAAGCCCCAGGGACTAAAGGCCAAGGTGCATGAATGCATTCATCTCCTCCTCCTCCTCCTCCTCCTTCTTCCTCTTCCTCCTCTCCTCTTTACCTCCCAGCACTCCACATTGCCGAGCTCTGCAGGCTCATAAGGTCTGCACATGCAAACACAGAGGACAGGCATGTGGAAAGAGCGTGTTACCTCCTCTACCTCTCCCTCTGCCTCCCCCTCTCTCACCCTCCTTGTTGAAAAGTTTGCTCTGAATCCCTCCTCCCCCTGGCTGCTTGTACAGAATAATCGAGAGTATGAAAAGCTCAAACTCAGAGCGACAGTTTCAACAGCAGGACAACAATACAGGAACACCTCCTCTCTGGGCCCCCATCCTTTCCTCCATCACCCCACTGTGTTCCTCTGACACCTCGGGTGTTTCGTTACAAAGGCTCCTTCCACACACACACATGCAGACACACTCTCCACACTTACACTCCTGCACAAACAAATCTGCACGCACACAAACATGGAGGCCAAATGGAACAGTGGTGCATTATCTACTCTTCTGTTACAGCAGAGAAAACATCCCTGCTATTTTAACTTCAACCACTGAACATCCCAACTCAGGTATCTCACATTTCAAACCGTAAAAGTGGACATTTATTGGGACTTGCAGGCAATTCTTCAGATTTTTATGTTTCAATGATCTGTTTGATTTGAAATGTAACCTGTAATTTTCATGCAGGAATGGAGGCGATATGATCCTCTACAAAACAGACAATACATGCACACACATGCTGACACACACGCCCTCTCATGTAACACAGATCCAGGCTCTCTGAGGAGGAAGATTTACCGTCAAACATGAGAGATATTTAACACCTTACCCTTCTGCCAGATATGGACCACTTTCCTACCTAAATACACAAGCAACTACTGCATGTGTACTGCATTACACTGACGTTTTCACGGAAATAAAGACACAACAACTAAAGTCATTCATAAAAGAAAATCACCTTTACCTACAGTGACAAGTTTTTCTCAAAACTAAGTTCCTTAACGCTCACTTTTACTGAGGAATGGAAAAATGGTAAAAGATGTAAATCAATGTTTCATGTTTTTATTTATTCATTTATTTATTTTTGTAGACAAGAGTTATTGAATTTGTTATCACAAAAGGGGGAAGAAACCTGACAAATTTATGAATCTGAAATTGTAGCATTTTAATATTTTTAACATATACAATGGTTATTCAGAATACTATAGTGTTCAAGTTTATGATTTATCCACAGCACCAGCCCTTAGACATAAACGTCTTTGGAACAGACAGTACCCTCATAAATAACTTTCATGCTTTTAATTTGACAGTTTTCTGTCTTGCATTAAGGTTACCTGCAAGGTCAAAAAAAGGTTTCATTTTGAAGTGTGCTCCTCAGATAAAACAGTTTAATAAACAGTAAGGAAGTGGAAATGTTAAATTGATTTGTCACCCAACGATAACAATAAATCTTGAAAGTCGGTTTTGTTGTCCAGCTTACTCACATTATTACCAATATCATACCCATTATCATGTCATTATCATTATTAAGACTTTTAGAAAAGACTGGTAGACTGCAACAGCCCTGGTTAACAAAATGGTTTGCTGTTAATTTAAAAGTTGACAGAACAACATATAATCAGAGTGCATTTGGTTTGAGTCACAGGTATCTGATCTGTTGGCTTTGGTGGCTTTGCCAGAGACAAGTGCAAATAAAACTCAGTCATCTGAATTGTTGTCCCATTAGCTAAGAAATGTCATTTTTTATTAAACCTTTATTTAGCCAGGTAAACTGAACCATTATAAGTGTCATATGTTGTTTCGTTAAGAATAAGAAGAACTTCACTTATCCCTGAAGGGAAATTCAAAAGTTATTAGGTATAGATGATGATAATAATAATAATAATAATAATAATAATCATAAGAAGAAGAAGAAGAAGAAGAAATACAAAATTTATTAACCAAAAAAATATTTTTCAAAAGTATGATAACAGTGTCTTTAAAGTGATAATTCCCTGTTTTCTCTGCTCTTGGTTTCATAGCAAGCCTCTGCACCACAGTTGGTCTGATCCAATCTACAATGTAAACAAAAGTCATGTTTTGGTCTAGTCAAGAAAGTCGAGGTTACCCTGATTTTGGTCAGATCACTTGATCAGAGGTCCGTCTTTTAAATGCTCAAGTACTCATCTTGTTCCATTTTCTTTCTATTGTATTATGTAAGGTCAAATTACTAAAGTACGCAGAGCTACTGTTGGACTTTGATGCAGACCAAACATGGCTGAGAGAAGTAAGTGATCATTTTAGGGCCAAAGTTTGCTCAGACAAACAGTTGCAGATTATCTCTGTGTACATTAAAGAAGACGTCAACATCAGTTTGGCCTGAAGCGAGGTTGCTCTGCGCATGTAAACACAGCCTGCAAGATGTCGTCTCCTCAGCAACCTGGCTTTGATCAAGTCCAGATCTCCCAGCAGCCTTCACTCCCCGTGAGCAGAGAGACAGTTCAACATGCCCGAGTCTTCAGCCCTACTGTTCTGAGACAACCTCCGGGACGTTTTCTTTCTCTGTGTGCCAAGAAACTGTTTGGTTTCAATCTCGATCCATAACCACACCGGACGCTGTCAGATTCAGGGCTCCTAATCTGCAGCCAGATCTGTTTGGGGCTCTGAAGCCCTGCAGAGCTAATGGACTAACTGCCATTTCAAATCAACACAAGAACTGATTTCCAAACCGTCATGGGCAGAAACGCTCAGGACGGTTGTCTCAGCCAGGTTTGACAGTAAGATATTAGCAGTTAGCTGCTCTGCTCTCAAGAGAGGCGTCGGTTTAAACATGGAGCTGAAGAGGCATTTCAGGAATGTTATGTTTTGTTATGTTTTAAGTCCAGTATGATGGTTTCTGATTGATCGTGGCAAATGTGATTTAGAACCACGATTGAGTGACTTCCATTATTTTAACCTGCCTTGGACAACCCCGGAACAAAAGAGCATTTTTAAAAAAGAATTAAAGTCTGTATTTTTGTTTGTGTTTAATTCTGTTGTATTGATCAGCCACCTCAGATGCCCAAGTAACAAATCAGGTTATAAAATCTATCACATAATATTGTGTTATCACAACAGGTGAGATTCGTGTGGACCAGAGGTGTTACCAATGAAGCAAATTAAGACAGTGCAAAATAATACTTGCAGCCACATGCTGCACACAACTTTCAAACAGAGTTTGGGGAAGTTTCATACCGAAAATGTTTCACTTAAATAGATGTATTAAAGGAATGTTTTAGTATTCTTCTAAATGAGGTTATACCACATGAGTTAAACATCACTAGTTAGTGTGTTAGCCACACTGGTTGCCTGTCAGCTCAGCCCTTTCAATTGCCAGACTGTTTTGTCTATCAGATTATTCCATGCAAGACCACAGTTCTTCATTTCCAGGGTGGCATGGTCAGCAAAACTTGTCCCTCTTCAACTAAAAACTTAAAGTTGTCCTAAATTTAAAGCTGATTTGCATTATACCTGAGCAGCTAAAATACACTTAAGCAGGCTGGCAGGATATCACGTGTGTCTATGTGACACACTGACAACCCCTGAGTGACAAATGACGACTGATCTAAGCATGTTTTGCTCAAAAGGACTCGGTTTGTCTATCCACTGAAGCAATGGGCAAAAACATTTATCCTGGGATATTTAACTCCATGACAGTTTAAAAACCCACATTAAGACTTGATCAGCACTCATGAAACATGCTTGAAACCTTCACGCTAAAATAAAGATTTGTTTCTTAAATGCTTTACCAATCAACATTAGAGTAAATCTTACTTTCAGGATAACTTCAAAGGATTTAATATGTTATCTTCCAGCTGGTGTGTCTGAAATTCAAATAAATACAACAATTCTGCTGCTTGGACTCAATTTTTGGACAGAATAACAGCTTTGCAGACATGCAATCACAGTCTCTGATTGAGGTCGTCTGGTTGCAGCTTTTTTTTGTCGTCTTTACCTTCTTATGGCTCTTGAGGACAGACGGAGTGACAAAGGCCTTCTCACACAGGTCGCACTTGTACTTCTTGTGGCCGTCATGCACCACCTGGATGTGCACGTTGAGCGTGTCCTTCCTCTTGAAGGTGGCATCACATTGGTCACACTTGAATGTCCTCTCACCTGCAGGAACATTTGTAAGAGCCATTTCCAGTTATCTATTGTTGAGTCTGTAAACACTCAGTCATCATGCACAGCAAGAGAGGAACCAATTTGACAGGGGCGATTGTGTGGGCAGAAAACACAAAGAGGGGTATTTCACTGCACCAGACAACCCCAAACAATGGTCTTTAGAAAAGTCTGGTTCTGTTTTTTTGGGACAGAAGTTGTCTTTTTGTGAATCCGTAGCCTCCATCCCAGGGGACACAGTAAAACTAACTGCTCTGCCACATGTTTCATCCAAACGTCAGAGCAGAAAACATGGCTTTTTTATTAATCCTTCAGTGAAAAGCACTAAAAGTGCAGACAGACAGTCCTCAGACAGTGTCAGCTGTTCTCAGAGAGCAGCCTGATGTTTCCCTTCACGCCTCTGCTCACTGCTCCACACAACAGCCTCTATTGTTGGAGAGTAGTTGTTTCCATTATATGGAGATCATTCAATTTCCAGAGAGGAGCTTCGAGAGAGAGAGAGAGAGAGAGAGAGAGAAAGAGAGAGATCGAGAAAGAGAGATAGATAGTGTATATTAGTGTGTGTGTGTGTGTGTGTGTGTGTGTGTGTGTGTGTGTGTGTGTGTGTGTGTGTGTGTGTGTGTGTGTGTGTGTGTGTGTGTCCGAGGTTGGTGGGAGCAAGTGGTTACAAGCTTATGCCTGCTCTTGTATTACCAAGGACGATGATGGTCAGCTTAATAAAATGAACAGCAGTGAAAGCTGAGGTTCATTATGTTCTGTATGAAATCGACACCTTCGCTTCACGATAATTAATGTCAACAGCACCCTCACATAGAGATTCCATTACCGCGGTATGACACCACACACGTGCCTGCACAGACATAAACACACTGTGTAATTCATTAACATACACTCAGGATTGTCCTCTTGTTTTTAGGTTTTGTTTACAATTTCTTGCTCTGGCTGTCATCAACTGCACATAACAAAAGGTACCGTAAGGTCACTAGAAATTTAGCAGGTAACATAAACACATACAGTCAGGCTGCAACAGCGTGCCCCATAACCTTTTTTTTTTAAATATACATGCAGCTTTGTGCTAACTAGGTCTACACGATTTTGGCCAAAAATAAAATTCTGTTTTTTTTCTCCGAAAACCCATTTTTTAATTATTCAGTGACTTCACAAAACTTCACTTTAAAAATAAAAAGGTTTTCTATCATCTCAAAACAAAACCACTGAAAAGCAGCACATAGTGCATACCCCAAGCCAGTAAGTGATGTTGTAACGCTGCCCAGGAAATGCACAAAAGACAGAAGAAGAGAACGGAGCATGGCCACGAAATCATCGCCTTCTTTTACAAACATATGTTTACACTGGTGTCTGTGGGAACTGGGGAACGCTCCCGCAGGAAGGGGAGCCTATGGTGGCCTGGATGCCCAAGACATGATAGAGAGGAAAATCGATTTGACGATTTAAATTTTTTTTAAGATTGTCGTAATCAAATATTCTGATTACCGTTATTATTATTATCATGAAGCCCTACTGCTAACCTATTCAAACAAGTATAAAACAATAAATTTGTGTCAAATCTGTCATGAATCAACTCCACAACATACTGGGGAGGAGGTTCCCTCTCCCTTGAGCTCATCATATATGTGGAAAGAGTCAAAGGAGAGTACAGGACAACACTGTGCAGCAGGGAGAAGAGATGCTAACAGCTCACCTAGATCACAGTGCAAAACTGGAGCAAACTGCACAGGGCTGCAGAAGTTTGTGGCTGTTTTGATTTTACTTAAATATCATTGGTGTAACTTGCTTTGTAAAATCTTAAAGCCAAGTAGATATCAGGGGTAAATAATGCAAAAGATTCTTGGTCAAGAAATGGCCCCAATCCACAGTAAGATAATTTTTTGCAGCCGTACATTCTGCATACTTTTGAGCCTAACAAATTTTTTCCTTTTACCCCTCCTGGTCCACGAAGAGAGAGTCTGGCGGACTTTTCCTGTGGTTTCATTGAGACTTGAAAAACCACTAAAATCCAAACAAACATTACCTCAAAACAGATTTTTCAAACGTACAAATGTTTGGAGAAAATGTCACCCATCATCCAGTTGCTAAATAATAACAGATAAGACATCAATTATATTTTCTCAAATATAACTGCAGCACAGTCTGGACCTCTTATGTAAAGATGTGCAGTTTACCACTCTCTCTTTTCAGAAGAAAACAACAGTCTTTAATCTTTGACCTATAATAGATCAAATATTTTGCAGGATTCAAACAAAACAACCACAAGTGAACATAATCCCCAGGAAGTATTAGCTTTTAAATTAACTGACAGATGTAAAATGTACTTTTTTATATTTTGTGGTTAAAATTTAGCAGCTGGTTAGAAAATCCTTCCCAACTGACAGCTGCCCGAGGATCTATATCTAGGTTAAATATCTTTCCATGATAATTATCCATCATAACACCTGATAGCAGGCTCAGACTGACAATCTGGCAATTCTGGCAAACACCAGATGGGCTGGTCCACCTAGCCACCACCAGCAACAGTGATCTTAATCCACTAAATGTTGGAGCAGTCAATCTGATTATGAATTATGGGGTACAAAATATGTCCACAGCCTACATTAAAAGGACAGTACAGGGGGGAAAAAGGTCATCACTGTCCTGCACCTCTTACATTAGACAATAACACTGCTGCTATCACAGCATTGAAAACCCTGCAACAGTCTGGTGCATCAAAAGTGACCCAGAATCAACAGAGAGGACAAGGAAAGACAAAACATTTATCTACTGAAGTTTTTACAGTATTAATGGCTATTTTTGTCAATTTGCTGTTAGATAGCTATGTACTATAAATCCACTGAAGCAAGGTATGTCTCAGTTCATATACTGTTGACTGTATTTGTTTCTTGGTGAGATTTCTAGTTAGAGTTTTTGTGCTGCTTGCTAGAAGAAGGTGTGTTTCAGGGAAGGAAGAGGGTTCAAACAGCAACTGTATGGGACAAAATTCCTCCCAGAAATTATCCACCCAGAGCCAGCCCAAGGCATAAGTGAACTGAGTGCCTGCTTAGGGCCCCACGGCCAATAGGAGGCCCCAGGAGCAATCAAAAAATTTTTTCTTGTAATATTTTTTTATTTTTTGCATGTAAGAGTGATGCTTTCTGTTTGATCAAATATATATTATTAAAAATAAAATAAAGTAAAAACATTTTAGTGCTGCTGCCGATGTAGGCCTATGATTCTTACTGCCGATATGTCAAAGCTCCGCTACTGTTATGTGCCTCCTGCTGTGCAATGTGCACTGAGCATCCAAAGCACAGGTAGTTGAGGGGCAAAACAATGTCACAAAAAAGACATATCCTTTAGGACTAGAGAAAAGAAAGAGGAAGAAAGAGAAAGAAGAGAAAAAACGCCAAGATAAAGGTATGCAAAGGCATGTCATGGAATGTTAATCAAAGCGATTTGTGAAGGTGTGTGAAAAATCAACAATCAATATTATTGGCAGAAATAGAGGTCCCCAAAATCATTTTTTTCTTAGGGCCCCATTGAGGCTTGGGCCGGCTCTGCATCCACCCGTACACTGCACACCAGGAAATCTCTGAAACTGAAGCGCTGAGTCTCAGAGTTTGAATGCAGCAGGTAAAAGCCTGGAACATTTACCACAAGCGAGGCGGTGGTGTGATAACGTTCATGCTGTGCAAAAAAAAAAAAAGTTCTGCTTTGTACTCTCTGCTGCTAACCTCAGTTGCTGGTAGGTTTTTGCTACTATCGTATTTGTTTAAACCAGCTTTTAACACAGAGACGGACCATTTCTAAAGACTCCCTCTCTTCTGCATACTCTGCACAGGCAGCCCTTCCATACCTAAACCAAACTGGGTGAGAGAGCACCCAACACAGACAGTCTCCTGCTGTGAAGTGGATCTGTAGAAGGCAGGTCCAGAAAATTCAAGCACCTGAATGTCTGGAAATTGTCAGGAGTTCATGTGTGAAAGAGGCACCAGTCTTTTACTAACCGTGCACTTTACTTACAGTATGTTAGCAATGGTGTGTATGTTTTACTCAACTGTTGGAGCAGCCTTTTTACATCTCATGTTGAAGATGGGACTGTGTTAGGCTGGTGTGAATCTCACAGAGGCAGACTGTTGAGGAGCGAAGGTGAAGCAGCATCACTGTGAACAATTTGTTGTATTACCCCATGCATAAAACTTAAAAGTCAGGGCACATGTCCTGTGTCTGTAACTGTAATATAATGTAATGTAAACTTACACAGCAACATTAACTCACTGTGGGGTTGAATGTAAAAAGCAACCTTTTAGTAAAAAGGGACTGCTTTTACATTGGTTTGTGTCTTTGTTTGCATGTTTCATACTGCTGAAGTAGATGCCATGAAGCAGCAAAGTCTTCTCAAAACTCCTGCAGATAATTTTGTTAGTGAGACTTATAATAACAGAAAGCCTTGTATTACAGTCCACGTAACAGTTCTCATCTCCTTAACATTTTTCTGGCCCAAACAAGCTATTTTAAAAACTTTAGTCAAGTTAAAAGTGCAATGAGAATCTGATTAAGGGGGAGAAAGCATATCTCATATCCAAGTTTGCAAGGCACAGTTTATCTAAGCATTTAAATCGTGCGCTCTTTGCTACTTCCACTGTCTAATCCACTCAATAAAAGGCACTCTTGAAACAGGACAAGAAAGTCAGGATAAAAATGTGAAACTGTTGTTCCATCCATGAGTTTATATAAATACTTCAAACTTTAACTCCTGATGCTGCACTTTTTACAGGGAATGTTGTAGCGATTACATGTCGCTACAACATTCACTCACCAAGACACACACCTACAGTGAGATCACACACTCACTGTCCAGAAGTCGATTCTTTATATGAGCTCTGGTGTTATATAGCCTTCCTCCTGAGACAGCAGCAGGAAATGCCTTTAGCTTTACAGTCTCTTTGTTATCTGTCTCAATGGGAGGACCAGCACTGCATCCTGCAAAGGCTCCACTGTCTGTGGGGCTGACACCCTCCACTCGGTAGGTGTATTAGGTGGTCATTAAGCTCCGGACCTACCAAATTGTCATTGGTCAGGCAATCACAGATATAACTTCAATGGGAAAGACAAGTTTAAAGAGCTTATCTTGTGTTACCTGCAGCAAGTTTGTCTTAAAATGTTAGTCTAAAAAGTGCACCACTTTCCTGTTTGCGATTAAGAGTAAAAGTTTGTATAGGTAGTGTGATCACACTGATATGTGCATTCTGGTATTAAAAAATATTTAAGTTCAGGCTGGGACAAGAGGATTTTCATAGTTAGAAAATGAGACCAAAACACTTATCTTAAAGCTCTTGTGGGGAGTTTTTTTACATTTATGAACCGGACTGGAATTACTTTTGATGTCTTTATGACATAGAAAAGCAAAGAAGATTATCAGTGACAAGACTGATGAGTTTTATATTGTAATTTCTAACGCATGACACTGGAACGAGGTGGTGGATGTAAGTGGGGTGAAGAAACAGCCCTGGTTTTATTTTTTCACACAAAACAGTCACAATAAATGATATTTTTGACTGTTAAAAGTCAGAATGATGAGATTTTTTGTCAAGTAGAGGACAAGACAAGCAAAGACTGTTTTGTCCACAAAGGAGCTTTAAGCTTTAAGATACTTTGTTTATAGCCTAGTTCTAAGTAGTTATTGTGCTGTAATGCTGTGCTAGAAAGCAGGGCTGGGCAATAAACCAAAAATTTACCAATACCAAAATTTACAACAACAACCGACGTTATTTTCCCCATGTCAATATCTTCTGTGTCAAAATAAATAAGTAAATAAATAAAAGTTGGTTTTGGATGTGTGTAGGAAGGCTATGGTCTCATATCCCTTTAAGACGCTGTCCTACATCAGAGACGTGACTCCACCTCATCCAGTCCGTAACAAAGAGGGAAAGACAGGTGAGGAGATGGAGGACGGTTCAAAAGTTGTAGCGACTGCAGCGCCTGAAGTAGACAAAGTTAATGTGGGAGGGGGTGAACAGCTTCTGGAGTAGTTATCACCCATTTATCGTTTTCAAGGTGAACTGCTCAATATATCATGATGTTGATTTGTGGCCATATTGCCCAGCCCTACCAGTAAGCACATTATCCAGAGATGACAAGCATATCAAGACTTTTTTCAAGTTGCCACAAAAAACTTTTGGTTAGAGTTGATTCTAACAACCCCTGGGGATGAAGTTATGCCCTGTTTCCCACGTCCTGTATCTGTGAAAGTAGAGCTGTCTTTCTTTTTAGGTTATTTTGGCTTTTCTGGGCTTGGTTGACAGATAGAGAACAGTGGCTGGAGCAGGACAATGGGGGATAGATGGGGAATGACATGCAAGAAATGGGCCACAGGGTAAAATCAAACACAGGCTGCTAGCATATTATGACCGCCGGGCTGTCATAAGGTGTCAAGGTGCACTCACCATGCATTAAGTTGATCAAGATCTGAGTTTCTCTCAATCTCCTATCAGCTGGTTAATGCATGGGTATATTTCTTTGACTGACTACAGCCCTGTACACAACCTAAACATGTCCTGATGTGTCCCTGTGAGGCACTCATACTCACTGTTGTGGATGAGGAGATGACGCTGCAGAGAGAAGGGGGTCCTGAACAGAGCTTTGCACTCCTCACACTGAAAGGGCCTCTCCTCAGAGTGGGTCTGCAGAGAGATGGAGCAGCAGCATGTTTTTAAAGAGTAAACAGAGGCGCCGCCTGCCCCAGTGTGGACGCTGATGCAGCTTCTTGAACTGATGTGAGAGGATCACTCCGAGGCTCCATGGCTGATTTGGTTTGTTGACTTGATGAAGACAAGCAGCTTGAGGGGCTTTAAGTTCAAAGTGCTCCTGTTTTTCTGCCCCCCTCCCCGTGCCCAGCCTATCTATCTGAGTGACACGGCAATCTTCAAAGTAAACAGAGGGGACCTCAGGGGTGGAGCAGGCCAGAGACCCCACAGATAACCACCACCAACGAGACCCTGATTGATTACAGCCTCACTAATAAATCAAGCTTTGAAGTTATCTCTCTCAGAAAGAAAATCCCCTCCATGTTAAAGAAACAACAATTATCATGTGTCACTTCGGCGGCTCACCTTCTTGTGGTTCTTGTAGACGTTGCGGTGAGCGAACTCTTTCCCGCACAGTTTACATTTGTACGGTTTGTCCTCGCTGTGGATGATCTTATGAGCCGTCACCTGGTCCAAACGTTTGAACGAGCGGCTGCAGATCTCACAGGTGTACGGTCGCTTCTCTGAATTATAGGAATAAGTTAAAAGAATTTCAGAATAAAAAAACATGAAGGACAAAAAAAGGGTTAAGGAGTGATGTTTTTAAGTGGGACTCTTCTTACCTGAGTGTGTGATCATGTGGCGTTTCAGTTGATTTGTAGAAATGAACTTCTTGTCACATGCAAGGCACTCAAAGATTTCATGTACCTGGATAGCACAGGAAACAAGACAGCATTGGACTCTGGTGGTTCTGCACCTGGGCCCTATATTTTCATACCTATAAAAGTAAACCCCTATATTTTCATTCACATACCTCAACATATTTTGAACACTTAATCAGAAGTAAATGAAAGGGTTGTTCAAGACTTTGGCTCATAACCACTGCTTATGACCCTGAGTTGTTCAGGTATATTTAGACATGACTGCATTTCCTTGACTAAAGCCAGTCTTACTGCTGCTGATTGCTGACACAACTCGTTTGCAGCCATAACTCCTTCGTAGGGCTGTAACGATTCCTCAAGTACCTCGATTACAAAAGATGATTGAGGAATTTTCTCTGCCTGGAGCACTGGTTTATAAGTTCAAATCGTCACTGTTTTGCACAGATTATTTGCAAGGTGACACACGCGCTTACGTCACCACAGTAGAATGAGGAGTTAGCGCGGTTTTGCGGAGCGGAAAAAAAATGAATGATGAGAGGGGAAGGAAAACAATTGATTGTTCATTATGAAGTTAAATGTCCTGTTTTTACTTGTACATTAATAATTGCACTTTAACTAATAAAAATCATGTTTTATCCAATTACTCGATTAATAGATGGAATATTTGCTAGAATACTCGATTACTAAAATATTCAATAGCTGCAGCCCTAGTCCTTTGTACCTTAAAAATATCAAAAGCCCTGGTCTGAGAACTCTGGGATCACCCTCTAAGTTTTGGTTTTGTTTTTAATTTTGAAGCTTACATGTAAAAGTTGAAGGACCTCAGCCTGCACTCTACAACAGAAACTGAATCTTGTCTATTTTCTACAGACAGACAGAAAAGCAATTAAAGTGATGAAAAGTTTCAGTCTTTTTCTGCTTCAGAGCGTGGCTCCAATAATTGAACATCCAGTAGTTCCCTGGCGTACAGCTACAATAGTGTATGCTAATGCAAAGCAGCTCCTCTTGTCACAGCTGCTTGTTCAGCTAAATGATGATAATGGCAGATTTAAGCTGCTTTACAACTCGTGTCTTATTGTGGAAAGTTTGATTGCTGCTCTGCAACAATACTCAATGCAACAATGCCTCCAATTATCAACTTAGAAGAATACACTGCACATTTTAAAGGGCAGACATCTGTTACAAACACTTTATTCTCTCTTTAATAAATGTGTTACTGAAAAATACCTCTTTTGTGAAAATCTAATGTAACACTGACCTACATTTATAGAAACACTGTGCCTTTCAGACCCTTGATTCTCTCACAGACAATGATCCAGACAATCAGGCATAATTGGAAATCATTTCTGCTACATAAAGCAGAACTGGTGCACCCAAAGACCTGCATAAAGAGGCCACATAGGAAGAACACCTATTTAAAATTTCCTGAAGGTGTAGAGGTTAAATGAGGCGCTGCAGAACTATGACACCACTTCCAGGTGACTTTAGATGTTGGACGGAGCTGAAGTAGCTCTTTGGATTAATGCCTGCTGATTTATCTAGATGATAAATGTTGACAAGAGGAAATTACATTCCAAAATTACCCGCTGAGATAACTAATGAAGAAAGTGAGCTGATTAGTGTCGTTCATTAACTTCCACCAACCTGAAGTTAACCTGAAGCTGAAAACACTTAGTTATACTACAAGGGGAAAAACACTCTGACTGGATACCTTCTCCTTTTTTTAACCTTTGATTTACTTTTGAATACCTGGAAACCTGTATTTATTGCATCTTAATCTCTTTAAACAAGCAAAGATGGTTTATTGCAAAGCACAAAAGCAGGCGTGAGGAGTGACGCACTCTTCCACAACAGTCCAACATAGACTTACTGATTTTTTTTAAAACTGCGCTGAGGACTACTTTTTTAACACATATAAAAAATATGATACATTTGACTGATTTTCTGTATTAGAAGAGACTAGTTTCCATTATTTGATGTTTGTAAACTACTTATCTTTATGCATTCATTATTATTTCAACCATGTACTGTACATCTTAAGGAGTTTTTAGGGTTTAACTTCTTTTTATTTCTTTTTCTTTGCTATTTCAAGTACATACTGTATATTTGATTGCCAAAAGTGTGCATTAGTTTCCGCCTCCTCTGTTTCTTTATAGATACAGTCAATGTCCCATTCTCTGTCTTTGTAAAGCACTTAGATTTAGGGTGACCATACGTCCTCCTTTACCCGGATATGTCCTCTTTTTGGGGGGCTGTCCAGCCTTGTCTGGCTTTGTCCAAGGGAGTTTATGAAATCCTTCAAATTTCCAGGGTTTTGTATGGAAGATTTGAGTTTGTATCGCGTGGACTTACTGAGTTAGAAGTGCATATAAAACACTCGACCCAACATGAAAAACTCAAAATTTACTAGACGTGACTTCATGACTCTGCCCACGCATAGTCGTGTCCTCTTTTTTGGGATTCAGAATATGGTTATCCTATTTGATTAGCTTTTCATTTGTACAAAAAAGTACTATATAAATAAAGTTTGAATGAAGATAAGCAAAGTTTTTTTGTCCACAGGGGGCGCCAGAGTTGACACACACCAGAAGTTCCTCACAAGAGCTTTAATGCAATTTGACTCATGTCGTGTATTTGCATTGGGAAAACATCATAAATCCTGGACTTGTTTGCCTGCTTTGTGCATTACAAAAAAAGTGTGACTACCACCTCAAAGATGATTAGACATTAAAAGTAAACCCCTTTCATGGACTAACAAGGTTTCTGCAGGTTTCAACAAGACAAATTTGAGACTTTTTTAAGACCATAATGAATACAATTTAAGATCCATTTTACATCCATACTGGCAAAAATAGTACAAAAGCCATGAAGGGAAATCAGAACATTTTAAACTAACTTTAAATCAATCTTTATTTGTAAGTAACATCAATTCATTTTTTAAGACCTTTCAAATTTGTATTTCAGATATTTTATGAGCTTTTAAGAGAATTTTAGACAGTTTAAGGCCTTAAATTCAAATTTTTGGATTTTAAACGTTTGAAGACTTTTTAAGACCCAGCAGAAACTCTGTACTGAAGATCTTACAAATGAGATGGATGCAGGGTCTGGGTTTTGCAGGTGAACCCATCGAAGACGATCTTCAACATGAATTTTTTCCTATAGCCAGCAGGACTTCATAGGGCGTCTACTCTGACTTCACTCACCGTACACCAGCACAAACAGTGTGAAATGAGCAAGCTTCATGTACTTCATCCACTTATTCACAAGTGTTCAAAGATCTGTACTTAGGCACTTCCAGCTGAGAGTAATGTGGCAAAAATCAGCCAACACCAAGAGTGTGTTTGAGCTGAGGACTGAAAACACTTCATTGTACACTTCATTAATGAACACAGGCCCCCAATTAATACCCCTAAGAGTTACAGATGGATTTCACCAACCAAGCTGGTGCTAACATGATCAGATGACTTAATGTATTTAAGCCCTCACTTAATAATCTTAATCTTCCTCAGCTCCACTCTATTTTTCTAAATGTGGTCATCTGTGGATCTAAAACAAAGTGCCAACAAACCGGGAGCTTCAAACCAATGGGCGGGTTCAACCACTCCTTAAAAAATAGTGGCTGGCTAATATTAGCCCTTAAAAGAGTACCACAACAAACATTTATTAATATATATGCTTAAATGTTGTATTAGAACAGGGCAGTTCAAATATATGAGCCACAAGTAAGAGGGAGAACACTGACGCCAAGGTTAGGACCTAATTGTCTGCCAACCCAGCCTCTTAAATTTCACAAGTCTTGTGAGATGAGCTCGTGAAAATGAAACCGCCCTCTGCTCTTTGTCACTCAGAATAAATTTGTTACCACTTCATCATAAAGACACCCTCTACATGGAGATGGAGAAACCACAGAAAGTGAGCTCAGAGGCTCAGGAAGCAGAGACGAGCACAACATTAAGAGGGGAGACTAGGTTTAGGAACTGTGTGAGTGTGATGGCTCCACTGTACAGGAAAAACTGCAAAAAACAGACATCACAGTAAAAACGGATCATGCAAAACAGCCTTAGCTTTCGTAAATCCTCTCAGATCCAGTGCACAGTATCTGGATGGGATCACTTGAGCTGCAGAGTCTCACCTTTCTGTGCTGCTGCAGGTTCAGAGAGGAGGAGCACTTTCTGTTGCATATGTTGCATGTGAGTTTCCGACGTGCACTCCCTGGGAAGCAAAGAAAATCTGGGTTAAAAATGACCAAACAAATGAACAAAAGTCAGGAAGTATGGCGATAATTTCAAAAAATCCTCAAACAGTTATAAAAAAGAGAAACTGGAAATGAATTCTCCTCATTGCAGGCCCACCACCCTGCCATTTTGAGACCCTCCCTTTATCCCCGTCTCAATCACATGCCCCACATCTGAAAGTCTGATCCACTTCCCGTCGCCCACACACACACACACACACACAGCCCTTGTCCTGACCACATTTGTAAAACATAAAACCCCGGCTCTCCGTCAGCCTCTCAGATGAATGTCTTAATCTCGGGTTGATACTTGATTCACGTGTACAGCTGCACAGATCCCCGCTGCCCTATATCCCATCATAAATAGCTTTGGAAGTCCAATTATCTGAAGGAGTGAGCCGCCCCAGAACACACAGGTCAGCAATTACGGAGAGCAAGTAATTAGTGATGTGTCTCAACATTGCAGAGATTTTAACTGATCGAGGTCAAGTACTGTTCCCGCACTTCCCTTTAGTGCTGAGGCTGCTAATGGACAACCATCTTCATAATGTGACGTTTTCGAAAGAGGAAAGTGCAACATGTTAGTATGTGTGTCCTACAGGAAGAGACAAAGACATACAGGAGGAGACAGATACCTGTGTGAACATTTCCTTTGTGCTTCTTAAGAGCGTCCTTGCTCTTGAACCTTTTACCACAGCTCTCTGCTTTACAGATGAACCTGGCGTCTCCTTTACAGGCCTCTTTATGCTGCTCAAAGCTGCATACACAAGACAAAATGAGAGCAAAGGAACAATGTCAACCTTTTTACATTATTACATTACAACACTGCATACACATAATTTCTCTTTTGGTGTGATACTCACCTAGATTCGGAGCTGAATGTGTTGTGGCAAAGCAAGCACTGGTGTGCTTTAGAGTCCCCTGATGGATCCAGAGACTCTGAACAATGCAAAACACTAAGAAAAGATGCATAACAAAAACAAGTTCAGCCATAAATGGTAAAGAAACTCATCAGAATGGATCTAATACAACAGAAAGTTTGATTTAATGTAGTTTTACCTCAGTTACCATCATCAAATACTTACTTTCTACCTGAAGTTTAAACACTTTTAAAGATTAAACAGAAAGAATTATATAAAAATAACACTACAGAAACAGGCAAGCTTGTCTTGATGGTAGTGTTTGCTTTTGTAGTTCATAAAGAGGCATTAACATTTAATTTAGTCTGTCTCTCAAACATTTTGTCCTTTTCAGAGACTCCACTTAGGTAATTTCTGGAAAATTTTAGGAAATTTTCAGGAGGCTCTGACCCATAAATGTACTTGACTGGACTGTTCATAAATATTTCCTCACAGCAGGAATCATGACTTCAAATAGATGCTGCATTGGTCATGATGTAATTTTGTACAATTAAATCCAAGAATGGATAAACCTGTGATCCTTGAACTGAACTCATCCAAAAGATTTAATCTACTATAAATACACTTCAGTGACAGTTTTTTAAACCTTTCTATTAATGTGACGAGAAATTGAAGGTACCCCACATTTCACTTTCACTGCCTTTGACATTATTCCTTTCATTGTCTCAGTTCACACATTCAGCTCACCAGGGTAATTTCAAGAAGTTTACAGGAACTCTGATCAGGTTTGAAATGGGCTTCAGAAACTCCTCAGTGATTTTAGCTCCATTTAGATTTCCCAGGAAACAACATCTTCCCAGTTACTCTGAAATCATTGATGCCTTTTCTGCATTAGCACCAAATAAATGTTAAACCTGGTCTTTTTTTTACAATTCTACACCTAACTGGCTGCCAAGTTGATGTCAGACCTCCTAATGACCGGCAGGTTGCTTGTGAGAACAGTCAGACATGAAATAAAAGTTCAGTTAAGTGAAGGAACAGAAACTCACTGGCGCTGCAGAGCCTGTTTGATGGGGAACCTCTTGCCACAGTTTCTACATTTGAACTCCTTCTCCTCCGTGCTGGGCCTCTGGTGCAGACTCTGAAGGTGGGCCGCCAGGATCTCCTCGCTGGGAAAGCTGCTCTCACACAGCAAGCAGGGGTGGTCCTCCTTCTTTATGACCAGTTCTGTATAGATTTAACACACACACACATATCAGTTAGGATTTAAAGACACTATGTAACAGACCAGTTAACAGATTATCACAATCACGATCTTATTCCTCTGTACCCATTTTTACAAGGTGCTTGGCATCTTTACTGTTTTCATCGTCATCTTTAATGTCCTCCTCTTCTTCCTCCTCCTCCTCTTCCTCCATATCACTGTCCAGGTAGCCAATCAGGAGCTCTGTGTCTGTCTCTATGTCATCCACAGCCAGGTAAAAGATGTTCTCCCCATCCTACGAGACAAAAATGTGTTATAGTTGGGATAAACTCACAAGGAACCCTCTGTTTCACTATTTGACAGTGAAACAGATCCACATTATGGTAGTAAAAACTAGATTCAAGCAGATAATGACAGGTACATCAACAGCTTGCATTACTTTAATTAGGCGGATAACTGACAATAACTGGAACTAATGAGTGACCGAACTAAAATGTTTTGCATAGCCTACGTCACAGATACAGATACTTCTAAAAAAAAAGCAAAGCAAATCCAAGGCTGTGGGCAAAGAAAAAGAGTCTATGTTGGCCAGAATACTATATAATAACAGCCATACTGACAGCAGGACGAGTGTGCTACATGGAAACAGTCTTGCAACCACACAATTAACAAAGCCATGAAACACTGGCACGACTCTACCTGAAAATTTGAGAGTAATGAAGCAAATGAGAAAAGCATCCTTCGCCATAAATAAGTTTTTTTTACCATTTATGGTGCTGCAGTCTGAGTATATTGAGACTGGCTGACTGCTAAACTCATTACACCCAGACAACAGTCTGTTAAGGCTGATTGAGGCCACAGGTCAAAACCTCAAACCCTAAAAAATGTTGTCATTAACTCTCCTGTCCTCAAAGGTCATGCTAATAAAATCAAACCGTCATTTTGTTTTAACAGAGGGATTCTAAATATACATAAATAACGATTAAGAAGAGGAAAGCTGCACAATAAATGTCACTGCTGATGGAACGCAGAGCTTGAACACACATGGATGACCTCTGAATGACCAATCACAGCGGGCACTTGGGTATTAATGGCAGGAACTTGGACCTCAGACCTGAAATGTTCATCTCCTCTTCTTCATTCCACCTCCATTTTTCTTCCATCATGAGAAAAGTCTCTTTTATCTTTTAAACAGGAGGGCAGGAGGTGAAATTGCCAGATCCAGAGTGCTGAGGTTGTGTTTACGAATGTGTGCAAGACTTATTGTTTAGGGATTCCTACCATTTCTGTATTTATAGGCCAAGCTGCTGTTGCTGATCCTTGCTTTGTTGTCACAACTTCAAAAAGTGTATCTGGAGTTTTTTGGAAAAGGGAAAATAATATAAAATGAACTCTACTAATCCCCGTAAGAAAATTCAACTTGACTAAAGAGTCATTCCCTTTTGTTACAACAAACTACAACACTAGATTTGAATGTAAAATAAAGGCACAAGAGCTGAATGTAAATAGTGATAGTGTATAAAGTCATTACTAAATTAGGATTATATCATTTTAGGAAAAGGAGAGAGGTATATTAAAACGAGAAAATGGTAAAAAAAAAAAAAAAAGAATTAAAATGATAAGAAACTGGTAAGGAGACTAAAAACAGCAGGAGTAAAAACTGTTTAAAGTAATTTTAAGACATGTATGAAGATAAAATAGAATTACACAAATAACTAACAAGGTAAAAAAAAAAGAGGTATGCAAGCAATAAAATCAATGAATAAATAAATCATACGTCATATAAAAGCAAGTATGAAAGAGTGAGTTTTAAAAAACTGAGCTGTTGAGGCAGATTTAAAAAGCGTCCCACCCCCCACACACAAAGCCCTCCCCTCTGAGCTCCACGATAACTCCCCCCCGAACCTGCATCACCCTCCCCACGACACACCCCCTCTGGCAGAGCAAGAAGCCGATCAGCAGAAGATCCTACGCCAGCTTCAAATAGGATTCACCATGTCGGATTGCTAGTGACTAGCGGCAGTAAACGCCAGCTCTGCTAGCGAACACTGTCTGCAGCTGCCTGGACAGCTACCGTGTTGACATTGCCTGTGTCTAATAAGAGTTGTTTATATGTGGCATTTTATTATGCCATGATGAAAGGCAAAAAGTACCTGTTCAACAAAAACTCTGCTGTCTCTGTGTCTGTTTTCAGGCCCAAATCCTGGCGGAGCTTTCTTCACCGCTCAAAGGATGACCCAATGTTTAATTGAGTTCGATTCCTTGCTCGGTCACATTTCCTCTTTGTCTCTGCCCTTTCTTCTGTTGGCTTGCGTTTTCTTCCCACTTTAGGCGGAATTGTTTTTTCCGTCCTTCTCCATCACAGCTCCTGTAGCTAAGCTACTACACTACTTTTGGCCGCTCAGAGCTCCGAGGAGGGCCGGGAGAGTGGGAGGAGACGAGTTGGAACTACAGGAGAGGGGTGTGTCGAATACAGCAAGGAGATTGGATGGCGAGGCGGAGCAGGAGATTGACCAGTAAGAGCTGTCCAGGATGCATTTTTTTTTTTGTAGGATGGTAGGGGAAGGTCCCGCCCTCCTTCGCCTCTGATTGGCTAGAAGTGCCCAGCTCCGATTGGTTATTCCTAATGGCTGTGAAACGTCATCGTCTGTCAGGTTAGGTTTAGGATTCGGATGTTCAGAACTGCAATAATGTTCTGTTTTATGTACAGAGCCAACAGTCCGCGTTTGGCTAGAGAGTGCGATGACGTCTCCAGCTTTTCTAGCCAATCAGAGGCAAAGGAGGCAGGACTTTCCCCTACCATCCTACAAAAAAAAAAATTGCTTCTGGGATGGATGGCTCCTATTGGTCAATGTTTTTGCAGCCCTGCAGCTGCAAGGGTGAACGTTTTTTTTTTCCATTCTTTTTTCACTGCACTTTGTGGAGATTGCATGATAGGACCATGATGGCCATATCAGTGAGGTTCATAATAATTACCAATCTCGCCATCGTCAACCATACCTTTAAGTAAAATGACTGTGGCATCCTCAACACCTCTGTTGGGTCTATAGGCTAACTGCATAGGGTCGAAATCCTGCTCAGTGTTCTTAAGGATTTCAGATTTCACCAGTTTCTCATAAGTTTTCATAGCAACAGATGTCAGTGCTATCGGTCTGAAATCATTGAGGGTTTTAGGTGAGCTGATTTTGGGGAAGGGGATAATAATTGCATCTTTCCAGACCCTTGGCACATGTTGCATCTTAAGGGACTGATTGAAGATATACTGGAAAATGGAGCTTAGCTCTTTTGCACTGGATTTCAGCAGGTGGCCACAGATACTGTAAGGACCCTAACTCTAATTTATTTTGAGGGAAAGGAATGATTTTTCAACATCTTTTTGGGTGATGAAAAAGCTTTGATTGTCAATGACTTTGTGACTCACATCGTGTATTTCCTGGCCAAAATCAAAGGTGTCAAAGCAGGTATAGAAACAACTGAGGGCATCAGCAATTATCTGAGTTGAAACCATCCAAAAAGTGAAACCACCGGGTTTTGAGTTTTTAATGCCAGCAATAGCCTTCATGCTCGATCAGGCAGATCCAAGATTTTTTCGCAGAACATCTTGTTTTTTAACTTTTCTTTTTTTTTGTTCAGCGCTGGTCCCACATTAAGACTGATTCTGACAAAAGGGTACATCCTGTCAGAAAAAAAGCAGGCTGTTGTTTTGTAAGGACTTCCTGAAAGCTTTGATATGATTTTGATGTTTCTACTGTAGTTTGGACATACTTGCAAATTAGAATTACATCATCATCATCATCATTATTAATATAATGTTATCTTGTCAGCGACCTGCCAATGCGTTTGGTCAGTTGTTTTGGGACACAACAGGTTGACTTGGTACAAACAAGAATGAGAGCGCGCACACTGTAAGTAAAGTTAACGGTTCGGGGATTCGAACTGTTAACTTTCTTGTTGTGAAACAGCAAAAATGACTGCATGTTATGTGTGTAGCCTTTTTTATAGTATTCAATAATGTACATTGCTGGATTTCCATCACATTGTGCAGTTTTACTTTCATATATTACACAACTTCACATATTTCTATCTGCAAAGGAAGTTGAGGAAAAAAATCTGAGAGACTTTTCGATTTGTTTTACAATTAAATTGTGTCATTTGATGTCAGTTCTGTCTTTTTTTCATTGCAAAGTTTCTTCAATTGTTTCCTTTCATATCTTTATTTCTTTTATATATTATCACATTCAAACTTCTCCATGTCATCTGTAAAGCTGAATTCATGTGGACGTCTGGGATGTCTTTCAAAAACAAAAAAGCAATAAAAAGCTGCCACTTTGACCTCCTGTCAAAAATACAGTTTCAGATCCACTTTGAAGGTTTCCAAGGCTGAAACAGTATGTCTTCTTTAAAAACTGCATTAAAACATCTTCTATCTGCTGCCAATTCAAACAAAATCTCTCTTAGTGGTCACTTTACAGACATATTTCTGAAAGGAATAATTATAAGCTAGTCTTGACAGATGTGTTCTGCCTGTAAAATGTCTGTAGGAAGTCTTTCGAGCCCATCCTTGTAGGTATGTCTGAGGGATTCATTGTTCACAGAGAGGAAATATACCTGAATGGCTGCCAGGTTCTTCTGCTCCTGTGATGGCGCCTGATGGACAAACCGCAGCCAGTTGGCATGACGTGGGTTACTTGCATCCAGAATATACAGCACGTCTCCTTTGCTGCCACGCACCTGGAAGAAAAACATACAACACACAGCATGAGTTTTCAGAAGTGGACGACTGATTCTCCTTCTTTGGTTTTTCTGATTCGTCTTCTGAGCATCAAAGTCAGCCGTTCTTACGTATGGACACTTTTTTCCTCTGTGCAAGCTTGGAGCTCACAATGTGGCAGGAACAGATAACTACATCAGGTTTGAATTCTACAAAAGCATCAGTCAAATCAGTGATTGTTAACTGATCTGCGTGTAATTAAATGTTTTCTTTGAGGCAAAAAAACTGGGAGCATATTGGGACAGAAATGCAGCAGCTGTGTCTTCCCTAACAGCTGTCCTGTGATAAAGGATGTGTGTTTCATCTGCCTGCAATATTGGCTCATCACAGCTCAACTGGTGTAATTGTGCCGTTATGCACACATTTGTTTAAAATTCTGGTACATTACTGCTAAAACTTTTTTTTTTAATTTTTAATTTCTTTTAAACTTTGTTCATATCAAAGCTTAAAGATTGCTGCAAAAATAACAAAAGCGAGAAGTTTTTACAACTGGAAAATGGCGCCTCAAGAGCTGCACAATACCTTGCATATTTATCAATATTTCAGTATCAGTATTAGCAATGAACACATATCAATCTAAGGTCTTTGCTGAGCATTTACTGTTACATTTAAGCAGCTAGATGGAGACCCAGCTATTATGAACATGACTTTCTACAAGTTTGATGCAGTCAGATGAAGCTTTAACCCCTGATAAACTGGCGGTAATGAGGGGATGAATAACTACTCATGTTTTCCGGATTCAGAAGGAGCTGGTTTCAATTTCAGATAATGTCGAACATCAAGAGCAGCAGACCCAGACAGACAACAGGAACGAATGTATTTGAGCTAATATGCTCTCTAAAATATTTGTTTCTTTACCAAACTTCTTATCATTGTCACAATACTCAACAATGCCAACGCATATCACAGTTTCTTGTACAGTATAATTTAAGCTTAGTGGCAGATTTGCTGGTAAAAGTCTGTACATAGTGTGACTCAAAAAGCAAAGTTTAGATTTGGTAGGGAAAAGTAGACACAATTGTTGAATTTCAATTATGGATGAAAACACATCACTTTTTTAGTGAATCCTTTTCAGCCACGGGTATTTTTACCACTGCTGTGTTATGAGGTCGCACAGCATCAAGAAACTGGTAACACACGTTTTTTTTATATACAGTGCTTTGAAAAAGTATTCATACCCCTTGAACTTTTTCACATTTTGTCACTCTACAACCACAAACTTTGAAGTATTTTATTTAGATTTTTTGTCATTGACCAACACAAAGTAGCACATAATTGTAAAGTGGAACAAAAATGATACATGGTTTTCAAAAATTTAAACAAATAAAAATCTGATCAGTGTGGTTTGGATTTGTATTCAGCCCCCTGTACTCTGATACCCCTAAATAAAATGCAGTGCAATCAATTGCCTTCAGAAGTCACCTAATTAGTTAATAGAGTCCACCTGTGTGTAAGTTAGTATCAGCATAAATACAACTGTTCTGTGAAGGCCTCAGTGCTTTGTTAGAGAACACTAGTCAATAAAGAGCATCATGAAGACCAAGGAACTCACTGGACAGGTCAAGGAAAAAGTTGTGGAGAAGTTTAAAGCAGGGTTAGGTTATAAAAATATGTCCAAAGCTCTGAACATCTCAAGGAGCACTGTTCAATCCATCATCCAAAAATAGAAGAAGTATGCCACAACTGCTAACCTACCAAGACATGGCTGTCCACCTAAACAGACAGACTGAGCAAGAAGGGCACTGGTGAGAGAAGCAGCCAAGAGGCCCATGGTCACTCTGGAGGAGCTGCAGAAATCCACAGCTCAGGTGGGAGAATCTGTCCACAGGACAACTATAAGTCGTGTACTCCACAAATCTGGCCTTTATGGAAGAGAGGCAAGAAGAAAGCCATCGTTGACAGAAAGACATAAAAAGTCCCGTTAGCAGTTGGCCACAAGTCATGTAGGGGACACAGCAAACATGTGGAAGAAGGTGCTCTTGTCAGATGAGACCACAGTTGAAATTTTTGGCCTGAATGCAAAGCACTATGTATGGCGGAAAAGTAACACTGCTCATCATCCTGAACACACCATCCCCACTGTGAAACATGGTGGTGGCAGCCTCATGCTGTGGGGATGCTTTTCGTCAGCAGGAACAGGGAAGCTGGTCAGAGTTGATGGGAGGATGGATGGAGCTAAATACAGGACAATCCTGGAAGAAAACCTGTTGGAGGCTGCAAAAGACTTGAACCGGGGAAGAGATTCACCTTCCAGCAAGACAATGACCCTAAACATACAGCCAGAGCTACAATGGAGTGGTTTAGGTCAAAGAATATTCATGTGTTAGAAATGCCAAGTCAAAGTCCAGACCTAAATCCCATTGAGCACCTGTGGCAAGACTTGAAAATTACTGTTCACAGACGCACTCCATCCAATCTGGCTGAGCTCGAGCTATTTTGCAAAGAAGATTGGGCAAAAAGTTCAGCCTTCTAGATGAGCAAAGCTTGTAGAGACATACCCCAAAAGACTTGCAGCTGTAATTGCAGCGAAAGGTGGCTCTATAAAGTACTGGCACGGGGGAGCTGAATACAAATGCACACCACACTTTTCAGATTTTTATTTGTTTAAATTTTTTAAAACAATGTATCATTTTTGTTCCACTTCACAATTATGTACTACTTTTTGTTGGTCTACGACAAAAAATCTCAATAAATACTTTTGAGTTTGTGGTTGCAGAGTGACAGAATGTGAAAAAGTTCAAGGGGTATGAATACTTTTTCAAGGCACTGTATATATTTGAAGAGGAGATTAGTAGCTGTGTGCAAAAGCATTTGCATCGATCAACATTTTTTTATGGTGAAACAGACACATCCATCTGCTGTCCACAAGTGAGTCAAGCCATGGCCTCAGTTTTCGACATATTTGAATTGTAAGACCTTTAGATGTGCAGAACGATGTACGAAAATAAAAGAATAGATTTACCTCCCACATGAGTCTGGCGTCCGAGCTTTCATCTAGCTCATTTGGCAGCTTTCTCTCTCCAGCAAAGGGGCCAAACTTTTCACCCTGTAAAACAAACACAAACAAAGAGATCGTTTCTCAAGTATGCTATTTTACAACAAAGGAGCAACCAGAATCATTTAAAATAAGAATGCATGACATTGGATTATTGACTTTATCTAACAAGCTGATATTTTAAACTCATTTTAGCATATACAATACTGATATGTTTGCACCTTTTATCAATCTAAGATAACTAAACTTTACAAGCAATAGAAACTAAATTTTACTCCTAATGTAACATTCATTTTCCTTTTTTTTTCTCTTTGGGGGGGCATAAAACAAACATTTAGTAATGGGTCTACATGGTGCATTTGAGTTATCTTGGGAGTCAGAGGTCCGAGCTGAAAATGACGTCACACCTGAGTTCCAAGCGTTTCGGTTACCAAGTCAGAAAAAAGCAAAATCGGAGGCCTGAAACAAGTTGGCTACATCTACGAAAGTTATTTAGCTAAAATAACTTTCAAAATAACTTTTAAAGTAACTTTCGTAGATGTAGCCAACTTGTTTCAGGCCTCCGATTTTGCTTTTTTCCTAATTGGTAGCAGAAACGCTGGGAATTTGGGTGGGACGTCATTTTTAGCTTGGACTTCTGACTTCCAGGGTAACTTGAACGCAACAACAGTCTGTCTCCAAAGCCCCAAAATACTTCCTTACATGCGCAACACCAAAACCTCACCTTTTTGGATGATATAAGGTCTGCAGGAATTTTCATATCTATCAATAATTGTCTGCCAGTACAGATATTATGCTAATAATATCCTGCATCTCTTTATATTTAAACTTTACAATATCCTGTGATGTTTGCACTGTGGGTACACGTGGACACGCCCACTTTTTATTATGCCATGTGAATGCATCATTCAGAACAGGATAGTTTTCATTTGGATCCTCTTGAGGAGCCAAAATCTGCAGGGGGCGTGGTCAAAACGTGTGTTGCATCCATGTTCATGCTCAGACTGCTACTGCACAGATGCACAGATGTAAATAACACTGTCCTGTTGAACGTTACCATATTCCTGCAGTTACACTAGAGCCTATTTATCCTCCAAGACAACTTCACCCGTTATGTGCAACAGTGGAGGGATAAATCTGCATTTTTAGAAAACGATGTTAAAAGACAAGAGCTTGAACATTCATGAAGAGTGTTGGTTCACTAAAAGAGGCTCACGTCCCCTCTTTTCCGACATGGTTACACTGTAACGTCGAGCGCCAGAAACAACTGGAGGCACTGTATCTACGTGGCACTTCACGTCAGAGCCGCTTGGGTTGAGTCTGGGGCTTTGACAGCGACAATCGGGATTACGGCGAACAGAAAACCTTTCAACATCGCTTAGAAGTTTCTAGAAAGTACCTGAACTGGCATAAACTCGGTAACAGAGCCGCCCGGTCGGAAACTACAAACCTTTTTCACCCGCCTCGCCGTGTACAGACCGATTCCATCCTGGACCTTTGACGATTTCAGGGAAAATCTGTCTGGCACGTACATACCCAACATTGTCATTACAGGGGAGTTTTTCCTCCAATGACAATACGTTGGATACCAGAAGTGTCAGCCAATGTGGATAATCATGTCAGTTTGAATTTGGAGCAGAAAGTTCCTTCTTGAAACGGTCCAGGTTGAACTCCTGTTGCTCCTGCTGCAGGAAGGAAATGCTGCGCTCTGATTGGTCCAAAGTTTGTAACCAGAAGCTACCTTTGCTGTCGTGCAGCTCTCCAGACTGTGATTCATTCAGGGTCTGCAGTCTGTGGGTTGCACTCACGGCATGTACACGATGAAAGCAGCTCTGTAAAGACACTGTAATAATGAACAGTAGGTCAACCAGTTAGGGGAGAGTGGGGTAAGATGAGCCATTTTTCACATTTCGGATCACTACATTAAGGCAATCATAGTTTTGTGTCTAACTAGTGTCTCTGCATACGTTTCAAGATGTTGTGTATCCCTGCAAACCAACAGAATGAGTGTAAACTGTCTAGATAATATAGCATGCCAAAACATAGTGGTCTCCAATGGTCAACTTACCCCGTGTATATGGTAACTGGGTAAGTTGAGCTGTATCCCTACTACCCCCTCCACTCTCCACCCCAGCCCTCCCTCACCTTCTCTCTCTCTCTAAATAACAGTCACTTCTTCACATTCATGTGTATTTTTATCTGTTTTACGCTATTCAACTGGTACAATATATATATATTTTTTATTATTAATGGATATAACTGCTAGAAAGCTGTTTTGTAAAAAGCCATTTTAACATGAGAATGTCTTTAAGTGATTCAGAACATTCACAGCTGTATTTTTGAAAAGAAAAAGTAACACATTTCAACAATCTGAACTAAAACACTGATCCCTCATCAGACTTCTTTACTTTCTCAGTTGAACCACTGGCTCAACTTACCCCAGAACTACTATGATGACTTTATTAGTCCTCTAAGCTAAAATGGTGGACTTTTATGTTAGGTTTTTGACCACATGGTGTAGCTCATAGATACCACCATTGATGTATAAAACAAATTTTAAATGGTCTTTTTTGGTCTGAACACAATTCTAATAAAACTTATGACTGACTAAATTTACTGTTGAGTGAAAAATTTCTTTTTAGAAATAAATGTCTAACCCCTTCACCCATGTGCTTCTAACCTTCACAGACTCCATGAATTGATGCCCATCTCCTAAATATTTGGTCACATGATCAATTTCCTTTACCATTTCCAAGCAACTTGCCCTTTGGCTCAATTTACCCTTTGGCTCAACTTACCCCACTCTCCCCTACTTAAAATACTTGAACAAACGCTGCATTTTGGTCAGCAAGACAAGGAGTCCCAAAAATATATAGTTGGTGACAAAAATGACTATTTGTTGTCATTTTTATATTTTAATTTGTGTTTCCTTTGAAAGTATTTGTCTCTTTGCCTGCCAAGTAGTTGACTGTTGGATTTTTTTTTTTGTGGATGCTTCACATTTTATGTACAACCCAGTCACCAAAACGTTGACTGAGTCAGTGTGTTAAATGTTGACAAAAAAAAAAAAGATTTTGATGGTTTGTAAACCATCTAAGCCCCGAATTTAATTGAAGAATTGTTTTCTATTCAAAAAAGTTTGCATGCTCATTTCAGAGTTCCTGTGTAAAAATTTTGTTTTTAGTTGCTTTTGGCGCCCCCTGTGGACAAACTGGTTCTACTTTCCTCTGCAGATTTTGACCTGTACATATGAAAATAATGTTCTCTACTGACAAAACTTCAAACTCGTTGTCTTCAAAAGTCAAATGTGACACAATTTTTGCAATGTAAAATGTAAACAAGCTTTGCTGCAGCAGAGTTTGGTGGCATCAGTTTCACGTGTTAAAAGCAACAAAAGAAATAACACATCCTCTCGATTATGGTCCCACTCGCATTTCTTGTTGTTGCCCATAAAGGGGCATGTTTAAAAGCCAAGGAGACCAAGTTTCTTTCCCATTTTTGCCTGTTATAGAAATTCAGCCCCTAAACAGTTAGGGGTCTTCTTTGTCCTATTATTAGTTTCATGATGCATCCACTGCTTAAATAGGTGACAAGATCAGACTGCAAGCAGGCCAGTTTAGCACCTGGATTCTTTCACTACAGAGCTATGCTGATGATTTTAGTCCACTGACTAGTCCAAAATCCATTTATTGCATTAGTCCAGCTGGATATAGATTTTTACAATACATGTATACTCATTAGTCCAACTAAAATCACAGTGAATCAAACCTCACATAGTCAGTGACACCTACATAATCCAGTTGGGGTTGATTTTCTCTTTGATCTGCATGCTTCCTTTGGACTAAAACTAGTACCAAAAGTGACAAACTAAAAGTTCCTTACAGGAGCTTTAAAGTGTAAAAAAAAACATCCCTGTTTGCTTTGATGTAAAGGCTTTAGTATGTTGCAGAGGTTTATTTACTTATTCTGAGTTCATGTTTAGGCTAAGCAGACAGAACTCTGATGAGGTTGAACTTTAAAATCTAGCATAGAAGTTCACCAAATAAAGCCAGATGACTTCTTTTACTCTTATATGGGGAGCAGCTCAGCAGTAGATGTACTTTCATCTGTGCTAAAACATAAATTCTGTTTATATTTCTGAGGAAATACTGAAACTATCAAGCTTCAGGCTGAGCCCACATAAACTACATGATGTTTTTACATCCACTCTTACCTTCATGTGTTAACTTTCCCTCTGCACAGGGAGATTAACATCACCTCTAATCACAGGCTGTTTGTGTGTATTCTGTTTTTGAACACCTCTTTAGCAAATGTCTCTCTCCTTTAATCAGTAGAGTGTCAGTGTTATGTGCGTGTTGTTTACTGTGTTTATAGCTTGTGTTTATGCCAACGGCTTCCTGTTTTGTGCGTTGAACTGCTTCATGATTGGTGCAGACGACCAGCGTTGGTTGACAATTACAGCAGAGACAGGATCATGATGTCCGTGTTTACTTCAGAGTCAATGAGCTGTCATGTTCGAGTGTCTTTGTCAGCCTTCACAGAGAACTCTTTTGAGGGATTCAGGCCTTGAATATGGGGTAAACATGTCTTTCAGAGGGGATTTTTTTGCCCCTCAGATCACTTCTGTGTTTGAGATGGTGTCATCAGAGTCCAGGGTCATGTTCCAGGTGAACTTCAGAGAGGGCTACAGGGAGACTTATTGGGTGACAGGTCTGATCACAGTACTGAAGAGGGCCTTTGTGCTGGTCTGCCCCACCCTTGTCCTTCTTGGTCCATTTCTGCCCCCCCTGACCCTGCTGTCAGTGCCTCGGCCTGTCGGGGCAGGACGATTAAATGTCATGACCCCTTTTTTCCTGCGTGCCCTCTGAGGACCCTCCATCCCATTAACTTTCACTCAGCTTTCACTCAGATCCCAGGGTTATCCCCAGCAGCTCTGATCTCCAACACCTGCACAAAAGACACTCAGAAACACACACTAAGAAGTCCTCTGTTAATGCCAGGACCCCATTACAAGACCCAAGCACGCAAGATGATAATCCCAGTAAGAGATAAATAAGGACATGTTTGATCCAGGGCAAGCTGAGCTAATCATCAATAGTTTCCTTCTGATAGTGACGCAACCTTGAAACAAACCGCCTATTGTTCAAAAACATCACATCCGTGCAGCCTCCAAGAACAAGGGTAAGGTTTCTTAGAGCTTCTGATCTGACCATCTGTTATCCTGCTCCATAAATTATGTTTCCGAGAGTTCGTCATTGTTTACAGTCTGACCAGCGACTCCAGAAACGAGAACATAGTTGGAGTTGAGAGACGATGTCTAAGAGCAAAATGTGAGCTGCACTTCCTCTAAATGCAAATGTTTGTTTACAGAGATTGATGAAAAGCTAAATTGTCATCAGATGATAGTTCACAGGTTATGAGATTGCATCATGGCCGACGTTTTCTGACCCTTTTTTCTCTCCACACAGAATGTTCTTCAGTACAAAGCCCACCGGTATTCAGGCTACTAACACATTAATGCCAGAAAAAAGTGTCCCTTGCCTCCAGATTCTGGTTTTCATTCAAAGAATCTGCAGAAGAATCTGAAATTTATTTTAAAGTTGGATGAGTCAACATTGTAGTCTACTGAGGAGAATGCTAAATGGTCTGGAACGGTTTTGGGACTTCGACTGTACAGTTAAGATCTGCATGTGGAGCATCAGGAGGACGGGAATGATATTTAGAATAGATGCCAGAGCTGGAAAGAAGTTAGGGGTCAGCAGACACAAAGAAATCAAAGTGATAGGGCTCTAATGAAACAAAGTAATTTCCATGGTCTGCAGTTCATGGGGTTTAAGGTATCTGGGAGTGTCTCACAACAGTTTGTTTTTTTAAGCTGCCTAAAATCTGGCTGCTGGGTGTTTTGAGAGATTTTGGCCCATGCAGGACTGGGCTGAAGTAGGTTTGATGTTATCCCCATCATTTTGCATCCCTTGATATACCAAATCAGTTTCATGAAGGAGAAGATGGGGAAAGACTCCTGTCTTCAAATGAAGATTCAGTCTAGCTTTATTAGCAAAAACACTCATGTTTCCTCCCTTATGCTTCTACACATCCACGTGTGCATTGAACAAGTAGAGGGAGGCATTGAGAACTCTCAGGCCAAGCAGAGTGGTTTAATAAGAATCGATGCACAGTTGGAGAAATCCCCTAGTGACCACTTGAGGGACTGCACTTTTAATCATGCTCAGATTGGCTTCAATTTGAATTCTGAACAAGATCAGAACCAACTGCGATTTAAAAGGTTACGAGGGGTTGCAGTCAGCTCAGTGGTGTTTTTAACCAAAAGCTAACACCATTACGTCAATGTGCTTCATTCTAATAAAGATAACATGCTAATGGTGCTGCTTTGGTAACTGTTCAACATTATAATTAAGCATGACAACATGCTGAGAATTCTGTCAAATATGATGAAAATACAATGACTTTTCTAATTTTTATGTAATTATCGCTCTCAAAAGCAAGTCAAATCCAGTCCAAGATGTGCTTTTATCAGAGGTTTTTCTCAGGCTCTTTCTATTATTTCCTCTCTTTTTTTTCAACATCCTCTGAAGTCATAACTCATGATGTCTGTTGTGGGAACACTGAACTGAATCAAAAGGTGTCCCTCTTCAGGGATTTCTGCCAGAAAGCTGTTTCATACCTTTTCCAGGGGATAGTTCAATCAAATGCAGTTCAATCCAAGTCACAAAGTGCAACAGC